TCAACAAATATTTTAATACGTAGGCTCCGTTGGCGCTCGCCCACTCAAAGGTGGAACCGATCCGACTTTTTTATAATGGTCATCGTTCTTTAATGCATCGAAGGTCATGAATTCGTGATACATGTTTTAGTGGCTATAAATTACTTCATTCATGGATACCAAATATCAAAAGAAAGGCGTTTTAGATGTTATGCGTTTATGATTTGTCTGTTGACATGAAACATGTGTTTCACATGTGTGTTTCTCGAAGATTTACTCTCCAACCTCGGGTCTATTGATATTTATTGAACCAATTTCGCCATCTGAGTGCAATGAGAATCATTTGCATTTAAACTGAAGCTATTGAGTCCATTCTCCGATATGATTGCTGGCAATTGAAAAATTCTCGCATCATTCTGCTAATAAACAGTGCAATGACATCGCAATAGTTGTTATCAAATGTTGTTTAATTATAGTGTTTCCTTTCTAAGTATTAGATTCAATAAAGGAATTCATTGGAGAACAACCCCTCATTTAAGTACAGTGTAGAACTTATTTAAATTGAGCTTAATGGTATTATTATTATGTTTATTTGTTATTTTAATTATTGATTTGTTCTTAATTATATGTTGTCCTTTACATTTTAATTAACTTACTGGCGTTTTCGTACCCACTGTAAGCCAGTAAGTGCACGGTTTAAATAAATAATTGTCTAATTTTGCCTGTTTGATGACAATATTGTTCTTTATGGGATCTCGATTTAACTATGTTCGATCACTAAGTTTTCTTGACCTTTTATAATTTACTGCCCTTGCCTCGATATAAGACTCTGTTAAAAGAAATTTGCGGTATACTTACGCAAATAACAGCGTGCCGTTGTCGATCAATAGGAAATTAGCATCATCAATCATGTATTCCCTTCGTTTGACCGACATTCTCTTCCATGTGCCGCGTCTATTCTCATTCTTTAATGTGCTGTTATTTTTATAAGCTCTTCATGTTATATCAAATCAAGGTTGAATATTTTCATTACTTACTACTTAATACATTTTACCTCTAATGTAAACCCTGAAACTTTATTAAATAATTACGTTTGTTTCTTTCGTTATTTTTATTTACGTGCCTACAACCACGGTATAGTATCATCGATGACGAAATTGAATTATGGATCATCTGCCGAAACTTTCATACGTTACTTTGAAGTTAAATTGATACAGTTAATGCTACCAATCAATCTAAATAGTAAACAATCTGGTTAATGCATGTATAAACTATTCAAATTATGTTTTTATGGTTTAATCGACAATGTTATGTTTAGTGACTTTTGATTTCATTATTCCATAAAAACTTGTGTGGGAAGGATACACAATGACATCAAAGTCAATATCTTGTGATTACTCAGAGACTAGCAGTCTGCCTACGATTCATGTTCATTTCTTTATTTAGGTGACAATTCAAACTCTAATAAATAACTGTCTGCTCGCATTTTTCGATCTCTAATCGAAAATGTGCAATAGATACACTGCAGCTTGTCACTTTGCAAATAGGAGTCACGTTTGCACCATTATCGGCATGGCTGCGAGTCATCTATGCTCGAAAGCATAAACTGAACGGTTTCTATTTGTATTTGTCAGACAACTTGTCGACTTGACGACAGTTCGTTGTTTCTATCAGTACCATGAGAGTGACATTAGTCAACATTCCAATACATATTGCCTGATTTCAATATAAAAACATCAGCTTCGGCCCACACAAGTTTCCATTGATTTTGGACACCTGTTGCATTGACTACGTTTGAGTAAATTAATTCTGTTACGACATCATTTATGTTTACTTTGGTGTGTCCTTCATCTTGAGCGCTTATTATGTTTACTTACATACATTGTACTATTTCATTCAATTCCATATCTAATCCTTCATTCATCAATACGCCACGGTTTACTCAAGTCCTTGTAAAGTATTTGATCTATGCAAACATTAACCTTGACGTATGTAAATAATATTAGCTATAAGTTTATTAGTATATTGTCGTATCACATTAACAAATCGTATACATTGTGTAAGCTGTCCGCTTATTCTAAAACATGGTAGTACATGAATAGGGCCAATATTTTATGCGCACGACAAGTTATACAATCACTTAACACCTACGATAGTTAACTGAGATGCAAAGATAAGACGTGACGCCTATTTTCCTTGTAACATGCAGCAACGAAGCGACACTACAGCTATCGTGAGTAAACTTAGCGATTTCTAAGAATGGAATCGGCTTAAATAAGTTAATGGAGTCAGCTATATTTAATCCTGTTGCTACTTTCGCAGTGATCCTTGTCAATCCGTCTGTTGTATTTTTAACTGGTTGTGTAACAGCTTGTAACGAGAGTCAATTACTTTTAGTATCGTTATAAAACAGACCTATGTTTTATTTGCTTGGGCTTTAAAGTTACGTGTAGCTTGTGAGTCAGATACCACAGTTTCCTTGTTTTGAGTGTCAAGTGACAATAAAGGGCTATGAACTGGTTTAGTGAGGACTGCTCATATTACTAGTTCTCGTTACGGGCATGTGAACCAACTAAAAGGACCATTTGGGCACTTGTTTCGACTAGCCTTTGTGTTGTAGTATGATCTCGTAAACGCAAATTCTGCACTGCATTGTCAGTAGATGTTTCTTCCAACGCTTTTCCTTATTGTCGTTTTAAATATCTGATTTGGCATTTCCTTGCAGAATTTGTGTCGGTATTTTAGTCAATTCATGAAGATAACCATTACCGTGATTATTTTTACTTATGTGTTTTGTCTTCAAGTGTCGTGTTTAGAGTGACAATTAATATAATACTTCCGACGTCTACTGTCCATATTCAATGTGACATGTTACCGCTATGTCTCCAAACTTGATCAGATCCCGGCTTGTGTTACATATCAAATTCATTTGCTTCACATGGTTGCAGACTGCGGTCAGTCAGATCGAAGCGTATAATCAAATCTGGAGGTGAACTTTTCAATGGTTGATTTATACGGGGAAAGAATAGTAATTTACATCCGTAAATCACGCAAACATTTGATGCGCATTCAGTTATAAAAGTATTAAATGCCGTCTGGTGTATTTAGGAACTTGTATCTGGCTTTCTAATCTTTAATTTTTGCATGTAAACGATTAGCTACCTTTTACTTTTACTGAAAGCTTCCAAAAATGTGTATGTAGGTATGTTTGGATGCGCAACCAAGTGTGAGACAGCGGTTGGACGCGCACCATTGCGTGCGGTTGTTAGAGCATCATGCTCACAGAAATCGGCAATGAATTTATTAAACTCTCTCCCTCCTTTTCTCTCGTCAAGCCTAGCGTGGTTGACCTGTTCCGTGGTCCACCAAGCATGATACACTACTTATTATCATTCCTTAGCTAGCTCGCTTCATATGGTACGTTAGGCTTCAACTTTTGTATTTAACTTTCTATGACAGTAGCTAAATCACTATCACAATACATCCCTGTGATTACACACCTTCTTTGGTCTAATTAATCCTCGGGTTACGCGGATATATTAGACCGAGAATATATATGAGACTCACTGAGAACAACCCCTTTTTACGTCGAGGTTTAAAACCAATCCACAGCGGTTTATGTGTGTACCCATAATTTGTACAGTACCTACTATTACTACATGCAAAGGAAATTCACAATATTTTCGTAACCATAGCTAAACAACAATATTGCTCTTATGTAAAAAACACGCAGTAAACTGATTCTCCACGTTCTCTACACATTTCATTGTTATCCACTTGAGTATCATGTCGAATGTCGTTTGCAAATTGTTTCAAAGTGTTAATAACATTAATTTCGTAAGTGCCACTCCCCATCGCTGACGGTCGGATGAAGTAAACCTAAACAAACTGAATATGCCAAGTGCCAATTGTGTCACAACTATGTATGATTCGTTTACAAGTTAGCATATTTCAAGGCGTAAACAACCATGTTTGTTTTGCGAAATGGAAGTCTGGACGAACTTGAGAGTATGTAGTGAATGTTCTCCGATGCTGCTAATTACAAAAGCTTCAATGTGCTCACGATATAGTGATCCGCTTAAGGTCAATGCACTCTCTGAACAATAACAAAGCGAACTAACCTTTTGCAAGATATTCTAGTCTAGTTAAAAGTTGTATCTAATGTAATCATTTAAATTCGATATCCACCGAAATTAAGGAAGCAATTTTCAACAGGACTAATTTAGTTGACGGTTCAAAGAGGATGCATTATGTTTCCGTTAACGACCGCGCATCTAAAGTGGTCGTAATTATGGACCGGAGTTCTTAGGCGAAAAGTATCTTTCTAGAATTTGTGTTCATAATTTCAATGAAAATAAAGTCTATAATTGGATTAAATTGAGTACTGGCTGCAATAGTTCTTTTAATAATATTGCAATGTTCACTGTTCACACGAATCGTACTTCAATAGTATTTTTTCTGTGAGCTTTAAATTCCTTTATTTTTTGCTTCTTTTGTCCTGTTTCCCCGTCCCGAGCCGTTCATATGTTTATTCCGTTCGCACCCCTTGGTGATTTATACGTAGTCCGAGCCCATTATCCAAATTTGAATCGTCGCTCTTCCCGAAAGTGCCGTTCGTTAAATTCCATTTTTAAAAAGTAGTCGGCGGATGCGTTGCCTCCGGTGTTGTCACCACTGCGTCGCCGGTATATCCAAATATTGCTAACGAGTTCATACATTTCTCCGGTTGATTGAATTCCGACGGAAATGGGATTCTGTAAGCGGAAGGGGACTAGAAGTTTGACAATTTTTGTGCTAGTGTAGCGTATACCGGTCAAGCTCTCTATTATTCTCGTGTGTTGCGCGTGCGCCGCTGCGTGTTTAGTTGCGTTCGTAGCACGACCAAGAATAGGCGTCACAGTGATGGTTCCTGGCTGAGAGGTTTATCTAGTTCGGGTGTCGGTATCGATACTACTCGCGAGCGATCAGCGGGTTGTGCAACACCCTGTAGTGGTTCTTTAAAAATTTATACGTTTCGCTGATATTATTATTGTGTACTTGTGTACGAGAGATATTATTGCTTCAGTACTACACTGGAATCTCAGCCATGAAGTCGTGCTCGTAATTTACATTTAATTTGTATTACTTATATTTCACACGTTATCACCTGACGTGGGTTTGTATATTGATAGTACGTGATAAGCAGTTACGATAGATAAGCAAAAACGGGCATCGGTGTGTTTGTTGATAAAATTGGCGGTGTAAAAGGACCATGAGATTGTGTTCGTGTTTTTTTCTGCGGAAAGCTTTTGTGTTGGATAGTAGAAAAAGTAATTAAGTGAAGAGTTTCGTGTTAAAACGTAATATACGTATGAGTGATGCGTCTGCGGCGCGGTGCAAGTGTTGCGTTAGGACTATTTTCGTAGCACAGAAATAAGAGCGGCAAAAGGAGCAAAAAGTTGAGATCGTCTGAAAAACTTTAGGACGAGTGTCGAATGTATTTCTGTCTGTTGTAAACCGATGTCTACAACACTTGTGCTTGGAATTGGTGTAATGCTGTAAGAAGTATTCACTGAAAATGAAGAAGAGGACCATCTCTAAACTCAAGTCTATATTCGGCTCCAAGAAAGGTACATTTTTACTTTTGTTTTTAAATAATCCTGGCCACAATAACCCCCGGTACTTATAAAAGACATTCAACTGTCATAAAAATACTTAATTGTTAAGTGAAACAAATGCGAGTGAAAAAGTATGTAGGTACTTATGGAATTGTTTTTAACTTCAGAGTCAATTGCATATTTCCAAGACAATAACGTTCAACAACCGTAATTATTTCATACATAAATATTCATTCGTTCGATTGTATCAATTATTGCATTTTATATTACTGTTTTTAATTTCTAATTAGGTGCGTTCTTTTAACATTAAATTTGGTTTGATATCTCGAAGTTTTCTCTGGCCGTTGAAAATAACGTTCAGAATGTCAGATTTGTTTGCGCAAGTACGCAGCTGGGGCAACTGTCACATTTTTTATTGGTGTGACCCTGTTTGCGATGTACAGCTGCTTGCTCTTTGATTTTTAACAACAAACGAGCCGATGGTATTATGAAAAGCCTCGTAATATCACCCGCCGGCGCAGGCGCCGTGGGGTGAAAGATGGGCGGTGCATTTAATAATATTATAACGGTCGTTCACAGCCTCAACTTTGCCCTTTCAAGATACTTTACTTGAGAAATTTAAAAGCTTTTATTAGATGACATAAGTACTCGTTTGTTCAAATTGCGGCAACGGCCGATTAAGTATTTTTAACTTGTTGTCTGTCATTTTATTCAGAAACTACCCACAGAATAGAACACAATTCTTATTTACGTCAGTTTATCATTAACAAAAACACTGGCAGTTTAATTTGTTGAAACAAGTTTTTATAGTTAAATATTTCTTTAACCACAATATAATACGGAGTTGATAAAAACAAATTAAATTAACTCATCCGGTCAAAATAACATCAGAACCTTGAACACAGCCAGTGAGTGAACACATGTACCTAAAATAATAGGTACTATTGGTCTAGGCACAATACAATACTTAGTGATAAGCACGTGGTAACTGCGAATGCTGAAACCTACTGCTTACTGTGTGTTTTAAGTTCAGTGTACAAGATAATGTTCGCAGTGTAACTACACAGTTTGTGTGAATAAAAACGGTTCAAATTTTATTCAACATGCTTTGCGGTTTTAGGATTCGTCGCAAAAAAAGTAAGTTCTCAATTACTTGCTATATCTGCACTCAAATTGTTGTATTTACTTTGTTGTTTAACAACAGGTTGATGTGGACAGACATTATTATATTTAAAGCGTTATTTAAAGAACAATTTTGAAGACCTTCCTTTCGTTTTTAATGACAATTGCTTTATTGACTTTAGTTTTTGTAAACACTTCATTAATCATTCTAGAATGTTTGATAGGTATCTGTTCGGTTAATTGTACATAGAATAAAATAAGTTATTTAGTAAAAGCGGTTCTTTGTCCATTGTTTTAACTCGTAATAGGTTATCTTACGTGGGACTTTCAGTAAGCATTTTCCTCGACAAATAGTGTGATACAATCTAGCTCCCATATCTTTAGGATTGTCTGAATGCTTGTTTCACACATGCTCACAAACCAGATCGTTTTCTTAATTACATACTCTGATAAGTTTTCAATACGATGTTCAGAAGAAATTCGTTGATTGTTTTTATGACTTGTAGACTACTACTGGCTTCGTATAAATGGTATTGTCTCACAAATAAGTGGTCTCAGTTTTAATGATTATTGTTTTTATCATCAACTAGCCAACAGGTTAAATGTCAGTCACCACTACGTCATCTTATTGTTGTTAAACTCAGAAACGTAATATTTCATACTTAGACTAGGACCGACCTTGTAGTTGTCTATGGTAATTTTCTGACAAGCAAATACTGAGTCTTTCAACTAAGTAAAATTATCTACATTTTAAGCTTGCAATTTTACTATCAATAAAATTCAAATGTCTTCATAAGACGATACGGCTGAATGACCAAATGACTCAGCTGCAGCATATTGGTAGCTCAATAAAATACAATTGTGAAATCTTAATTCGGAACATAATATTTGCAGTGAGACGCGAAGATATCGCCGCATTGGAATTATTCCGGCAAGATATTTGAGATCACGATATTAGTTTTCATCAGCGTTTTATGATACGGAATCAGAGCAAACGCAACGGCACCAGTCAGCGTGAAGATAGACCAGATTTCTATTTGTTTATTGATGCAATGACTTACAAGTATCATTCGTTAATTATACTTTCACTGATTGCTCCCAATTAGTTATTGTACTACTTCTTTGGCTAAATGGGTTACCTCTTTCATGTATTTGTCGCTCGTTAATTTTGATGCCTACGGATCCCAAGATCTAAACTTTGGATGTTTCAAAATTGCTATCAGAATCTTGTCTGATTTTGAATTACAATTTTATTTGTGAATTCTTACCAAGTTAATTTTTTTTTTTAAATTCGGGATTCTATGATGAAAAAAAAGTATATTTTATTTAACTGTGCTAAGAAGTAGGTAAATGGCAAAGGCATAATATTATACATCTTTGAGTGTACGTGATGTGCAGATTAAAACGCCTTTGCCATTTTCACCTTTATGTAGCTTTTACAAATTGTAAACTCAGTTGATGAGGTACCCACGGCGCACACATAAGTTTTCAAAGCCTGACCCAACACATCTGACATGAGGACACAAATAAATTTTGGGTCTGTACTCCATGTTCTACTTTAGGAGATCAACGTCAAAGCGTCACGTCTCAAACTCACTTGACCTTTATTTACGTAAGAGGTGTGAACAAACAGAGTAAACTCGCAGACTCACACGTTATCTTGCTCCGTACATCTAGTTGTTTGCATACGTTAATTCTCACGACTACAATATAACCTTCCGTATGAAAGTGTCTGATATGCTCTAAAGCCACGTCGGTTCATATAACAGCGGTCACTTTCGTTCCCATGTCAAGCAAGTTCGTGAGTCAACGCAAATTGATGAACAATGGTGTATGGGAACCTATCAAACTGGACTACTATTTACATTACAGTATTGTGAAACTATAATAGCTCTGATTTCTCCTGAATGACTGTAAAATCTGCAAAGTCTATATTTCGCTTTCTATACAGATTTTTGTATACGCACAAATGCATTCTCTTAACTGTCATTAATCATCGATTGTCTGCGCATACCACAGTTTCCAAAGTGTGGACTGGCTGTGCAAATGATCGCGTCATGACATGATAATTTGATCGGAACAATAATGGTAAAAAGTCTATTCCTCCATGTAAGTAATCTTCGACCGCAATGTTTGCTCAGATAGGAAGTAATTTCGTGCTTTATTGCATTCTTCACGCGATTTGTGCCTCGTAATTAAAGTTCAGAGCGTAGACACGCTTTCTTTTCTAATGAAAATTATAACATTATCTAATTCTTCTTTGTCTCTTACTGACATTTCATAATTTTTATTAAACACTTCATTTTTCATAACAAGTTACGTATGCGGTCACGTCTTATTCGTAAGATAGTTATAACTATATTATTCTGTTGAACGTTATCCGGTTTGTTAGGCCGACTGAATATTAATAACAAACACCACTACCGAAATGATCACGTGCAAACTCAAGGGCTTAAGTATAATAAGCTTGAAGTCAGGATCAAACAGAAATTAATTTTTATATGTATAGCAGCCAAAGATATGAAGAGTTACTTCAAACTACGTTACTTCGAACGTTTTGTTCATGTGCACTATAAAGTCATTAATCGTTATCCAACGTTCTATTTTTAGTGGGCAGACAATCCGGATCTATTCCTGGGGCGCTTATATCTTACGTACTTCCATGGCTTAACGGTGAACTTGAGAAAACTCAAGTTTTTACCAAGACGATGACCCTCCCATATAAGCAGCTCCGGGTTTCATGCTTCAAATTCTGTGCCAGGCACCGCCGAGTACATGTCACCCTAACCCTCATTCAACACGTTCGGTACCTGTGTCCTACCCTCCAATAACTGGAACTTATAGACCGTGTCGGGCCCTTAATTGGTGTTTAATACATCAAGTGAACTCAAATCTGGTTCATTTCTTGGATGATTACTTTCTACGAGCCAATGCAGAACCCCGTTTACTAATAAATTATATTATGGGATCATTAACCAAGCAAGGTACGTAAAAATGTGTTTAGGGTTGTAAGCAACTTAATACAAAATCAAACATATTTTATGTGATCTGATTCCTCCTGAGCTGCGATAGTGGAAGGTATTCAGGTCGGCGTGCGTCGCGTCACACTTGCAATTATATTTGCCGTACAAGATATGGCAGATTAGCGTCACATTCTACTAATGTATAATTAAGTCTATTTTAGGAAATATTGTGTAGATAACTGGCGTTATTTACTGATTTATCTTAACCTAGTTTTCCATGCGGTTACTTCCATCTAAAAGTATTTTATTTACAACCGCAAATAGAGTGCCGACTGCCGCATTCTTAATCGAAGTTCGTTAGTTGCTTTCCGCTCATTACTTGAACAGAATCCTTTGATGTAGTACGAATGTGTACGGTGCGGTGCCGACCAGACAACGGTCTCCTTGTTAACAGCCTCAGTGTTAAATAAAACCTGTATCAATTTGTGTTCATGGCACGCGTGAACGATGTACCGCGTACCGCATATAGGATTTACGCTCTTTAATATTGGGAACAGCCAACATCTTCTCGGAAAGGTTAAAATTGGTGAAAACCTGCGACACATTTAGAATTTTAAGTAACTGCTTTTTATAATTTGCTATTGAGCTTGACCTTGGTGTTGTGTCTTAGTAAAGTCTGGTCTGTTTGTGCGTTGGCTATTGTACTCATACAATTAGATACATACATAGGTTTTATTTTTATGAGTCTGGATTACACCTGTAGTTAACTGCAATTATTTATTTATTACCCTTATAATTACAGTGTTATTGCTATTGAAACCACAAATAACATATTCCGAAGATAAGAACTTGTTTTCTCCTCCATTGATCTCGTATTGCCTTCCAATAGTTCAAAAACGAAAGATAAGTAATCGGGCGCGGGCCGCAGTCATCCGGTTCCTCCTAAACTATCGAGATGTTCCTATTTTAAACTAGAGAACTGTTTTACCGAGACCGACTAAAGTCAATTAGTAGTCGAGTCATGCGTGCTACTTGAATGCCCTCGAACGGGATGCGCCTGCGCTGCTGCGAGTTCAGCCACCCGGCCGCGCACAACCCGCTGCCTTATCGATGGTATTTATGATTTATTGCACATAAAATGCACCTTTTGTTTGTGTTAACACGGTTAGATTGAGATTTGTTTATTTGATACTACTTAACCAGTTTGTTGTTGGTACTAATGTACGAGACAAACATTATACATTATTAATGCAAGCTAAATGCGGAGTAAGTACTTGTGTATACGATTCCAGCAATCCAATTACAATTCCAGAGAATTGAAACGTAATTTATAATCATTTGCCGACAGTCATTGTAGGTTGTAGGTCCCACTTCCCACGTGACACCACTCTGGCTTATGACTTTTACTGTACATAAGTGTGGATATGAATTGTCTGTTAAGTTGATCAGCTGATGATAAAACGCGTAATTAGCAGCCGACAGTCGGTATATCAAGTAATTATTTTTAAATCAATGGCCCGGTTCCTCCGGTTTGTATTGTAACCGATGTGTCCTCTATGGATTATATAAAAGCTTACTATACCGGTTGACGTATCAATGAAACCGGAATATTAATCGTATACGAATATGATTACGAAAGGAAGCGGCCGTTTAACATCCACGTAGTAGAATTAATTAACACATGGAGTAAACTTGAACAAGGCAACTCCTTGAGCCTTAGTTATGTGGTTAGATTAAAACTTAGTGGGTATACCAGTATTTATGTTAGCAAAGGATTATTATTGAACGATAAAATGGTCGAATGAAATCGCGTCATCCTATCCTTTATCTCTTCTGTTTGAGGTCAAGTGTCCCCCTCTTCATTATCGCCTACACGGCTTTTAACTGTGCCTTTGTGAAGTAATGCGCGCTTTTGATACTCTCTACTGCACGATCGAACCACAAATTACTCCTTGCCGTCGGAGCACAAGTTGGGAACATTTTTATTTAGCTAGAGGTTGCGTGACCTAGGTAGTAATTTAACTAATCAATATAGAGGTTGTGGTCGCTGGCTTGCGTCATGTTTACTTGCTATTCGCCCTTGCATGAATTTGACGATGAATGAAGGCATTTTTTGGTATTAAATTTTCAAATACCACTACATGAGCTTCGTTTGCCGGGTTCAGTCGAGGAATATTTGGTGTAACCTTGAAATCGTACCCACGGCTTATGTCACGAACCTGCCAATGTGAATGTTTTGTGAGGAATATTTTTGTATTGCGATTTGTTATGGGCGAAGCGTGCGAAGGATTGGATTCGCGTTGGATGTGATTGAAATCTTAACACCAAATTCAGAGTAGTCTAGGTATCTAGGTGTAGCCGAGTCCTACCTAATCCATTCGACTCCTTTTTAAAAATCAATGCCATCTTTATTTGCCAAGCTTATCTCGTTTGAATTATTTTTCCTCAAGTGCTGAAGACGTTTTGCGGTGATTATGTAAATAAGTTAATCGATATGTTGATGTCCGCAGACATTATTATCAAATACAAAAATTTTATAGTGTTTTAAGTCTCTAAAGTAATACCGGATAGTTACCTCACACGTGATACGTATGAACTGCCCATCGTTAGGCCTTAAGTGCTGCAAACTTGTCATTTATGTGAAAGCTTTGAATTATTGCTATAATGACATATAAATTAGTTACTCGTGTATTATGCACTGGTGATTTCATATGACCTTTTGCAATGTCTATTTTTGTTGTGGAATTTCACAGATGATTTAAGTTAGAAACTATTACTGCAGATGTCATAGATGGCAGCTGCAAAATACTGCCTACTGTTGTATAGCAGTGTTGCTGACACATCGACGGTTTATTTCTGATTTCGGTGATGTCATAGACCTAAAATAGTTATTTTAGTGTACACTGTTCTCTACTCTACACTACCGTTTATAGCTATTAAGGAAGGGACTAATCTTGTCTCTCGTTTGTTAATACTTACTTCGTTAGCTACGTGCTTCATCCTCGTTTAAAGCACTAACTACAAATATCTGAGACTGAGACCCCTTGTGACTTTTTGCTGCATCATTACAGATCAATGACCTTCACGACTTGTGGGCGGTGTACCTACTCTTTATTTATTTGTTGGTATACCAATAGGTTGCTTTTTATTACTTTCAGTCCAAAGTTAGGTTTGTGTTCGATTAGATTTGCAGCCTTTTTTCCATAAGTGGTAATCAAAATAAACTTACATTTATTGGTCCGCTCACCCCTTCTTAGGATTGTCAAAATCCCAATTTGTACAATGATTTACGTTAAACGTCCTGCTTTCTCAACTTTGTGTACCTAGTTGAAAATTCTTATTTCCGTATTAGACCTTCAATTCAACCTTTAGGTACTTTGCTAAATTTCTACGTGCAGCTTTCATGATAATCATATGCTTATCAGTCATCTAGATGCATCTGGTAAATTATGGTTATTGGAAAAAAGAAAAACTATTTGTATTTACCTGTCCTTTCGTGTAATCCATAGTTCAATTATATTTTCCTGTTTCCAGGCAAGCGACAACAAGAACAACCTTTAAAGTCTTCACGTTCGCCTTCGCCTGAGCCGGTGGGGGCGGCATCCCCGGTTCCAGGCAATGATGATTCGTTCCGGCCCATCTTGAGGACTCCGCCACCAAGCCGGGCAGGGCCGCCACCTTCGCCACCAGTGCCTACACACCCCATAGCTCCAGTTGCCCCTGAACCTGCAGCTCCTCTTCCCCTTCTGCCATGCGCAGTTTGTGGAAGAACCTTCGTGCCACAATCTTTGGCAAAACACGTGAAAATATGTGAAAAGATGACAGTGAAGAAAAGGAAAACATTTGATTCTTCCAGACAGAGACGTGAAGGTGTGTATTTCTTATTTTAATCCATTAGTTTAATTCTGACTCGGGTTATGCAAAAAACTGACTATAATTTAAGAAAATGGGACAGTATCGTACTCCACTGATTCCCCTCCTAATTTGACCTTCAATATGTCAGCAGTAGATAAATTATTACCAATTTTATACTATGTATGTAGTGATTGAAAACAATGTTGACACTTGAGTATGTGGTAAAAAACACTGCAGATAGGCAATCGAAAATTAATGAAAAAGTTTCGTAAATATCTTTTGACCTAAATGATATTATAAAAGATGATAAGATTTTTTGCCGGTTTTAATCTCATTTGGTTTTTGTTTTTTGAATGAAGTTCTTTATTAGCCTTCATCATTTTGTTGATAATAAATCAAGGAAGGTTGTGGGTTTACTAACTCATTTTCTTTTTTCTTGACTACAGTCTTGCGTTTTAACTTTGTTCCTAAAAATGGGAGATTTTGCATGACACCATGATTCATGTTAGTTTTTTGATTTTGTTCTTTGATCTAGGTAGTTTTTTATCTCATATAGTAGTGTATTAGTAAGTAGTTTATATTATAATATTGTTTTGATATTAGCATGATTTATTTATGTATATTGACGTTTCCTTTGTTGTTGTGGGTAAAAAGGGCTGATCGCGGCGAACGGTGCTAATTCCGGTGAGTGGGTGAACGGTTTACATATTCCCTGGCATTCATATTTAACTGTGACTCCTTAGCATTGTATGTGAACGTTTTACTAACACAGCCACACACGTCCTACTGCATTATAAATGGTCGTGACTTGTCATACTTTGCGTACAGATACAAACAAAAACACTACGTTTTTGTGTCTGCTTCTACAACCTGTGCAACAGCATTTTTTACTCATAACTAAGATGAGAACAACCATAACTTAAGTACTTTAATGCCGTAATTTCAAATCCGTGATCATGCAGTCACGTTCTGTCTTAAAAACAAAAATTAATTTCCAAAATGTCTCGTTTATCACAGTGACGTAATTAATTCTCATAAATGATGGCTGGCTCATTGTAAAGTCGAAGACCCACAGTAATTATATGCAATTATTAAGTAAGATTGATTGACCGCGGAGTCCCTTAACCCGATAAAAGTGAGGTTTAAAAATATTTATGTAAATGTTTATATTGTGTTTGCATTGACAATATGACGTCCCACTCTAACGAGGTCTGTATTTGCATATTTGTTTGTACCTACACGGTGCCTCTACGTTTAGCAACTCCGCCCTCTAAAGTAACCGTCGTCGTCATTATACTAAGCACCGTGGTTGTCTAATTAAGTCTTTAGCATTTAGAAATGCATGGGATGTCTGCCACGGCCTGACACAGAACATCTGGTGATTAAAATGTTTGTTTTCCTTATTAAAGAAAATGTGTCCAATGAATTCTGTTTGTTGCACGTTTGTTTGTGTAGTTTCAAGTAGTTACACCGAGTGTATGTGTGTGTATGTTTATCTCAGTACAATTTATCTCAATGACATGAGCACGGTTTGTCCAATGTAATTGCATAATGGATTTTACAATTCACTTTAACTAGTAACAAACTTATCACGTCTACGAATTGAAATATTATCTAGCATGCTTTATGTTACTAATGGTATTGATTTGGGCATGTCAACATCTTTGTGGGTTATTAATACCCAGGATTCTTCTATACGTATGTGTTCTCAATTTTAGGTACAGACTTGGAGCAATACTTGCCAAAGAACTTCGGTCTTCCAGAAAACAGTCCGTTCTTAGAGAAAAGTCCGCCGAACACAGCTAAGCCGACGCCAAAACCCAAACCACAGTCCGTCAGGAACGCTATAACGAAGGTAATCTTTTAATCTGTACTGTATTGTAACATGTAGCTCGTTAAAAATAAAAACTTTGTGGTAAATATCTTTATATTGTTCGATAAATATCGTTACATTTTACGGTCGCGTGCCAGTAATTCTGTGCTCGGGCAAATATTTTAAATGCTCTTGACATACGTTGTTGATGTGGTTTAGAGAATTCTTGTTATAAACATGTGAAATTAAAGTGCACATAAAGCAGCATGTGTTGTTGTCTTGACTGCCGACTATAAGAGATGACCTCAAGCAAAGGTTTGTCTGGGTTTTTGGTTTCGAAACCTGTAATTAATAAATCTGCAATGTTAATCTTATATCTTATACTATTATATAAAGCGGAAGAGTTTGTTTGTTTGTTTGAACGCGCTAATCTCCGAAACTACGGGTCCGACTTGAAAAATTCTTTCTGTGTTGGATAGCCCATTTATCGAGGAAGGCTTAGGCTATAAAACATCACGCTACGATTAATAGGCGCCAAGCACAGCGAGTGAAACCGCGTGGAAGTAGCTAGTAAGACTATATAATAAGCTTTCCACCGAAACCTTCACTTAAATTGTCATCTACCCACTAGGGGAAACTCCATAATAATCCGTACAGCAGTTTTTGACCTCATCTCGAACAGATACTTTATAAAATGTAAATGTCATCTCTGTCTAGACTAGGAATAGGTATGTTAGCTTATTTGTAAGTGACACCTATACAAATTTCCTTAAACGGAATAGAAAATAAACCCATATGTGGATAAGTCCTTCCTTATGTATGCAAGTCTTTTCACCAGTTAGTGCTAATGGCCGGCATAGTAACAACGCCACTCTGTCATGTTAATATTTAACTGAGTATAGTCATTATTAACTTCTATTCAGTTACCAACAGTTTTACTTAACAAAGATGAAAACTAATTACCTACTCGTTGAAAGGATTAGAAAATGTATTATTTTACTAAACACTGTAAGTACTCTTGTTAGAAAGTAGACTCCCAGAGCTAATTTCGCTACATTATTCTAGACTGAATTCCTCTTTTACTGAAAACCCCATCTATTTACTTAGTACTTAAGAATGCCAAGGTTGCTGATTTCAATTTAGGAAATCATAAGTAACATAGCGATATGTTGCCCAACTCGATAGTGCCATCTCCGTCACAACCAAAATCCAAAAACGCCATTATTAATAAGTTTAATTTTTATTTCCAGCCAATGGCTGAACTACAAAGATGTCCGCACTGCAGCCGTGCATTCGGCGTACGCGCATTCGAGCGTCACGTGGAGTGGTGCGCGGATAAAGCGAAGATATTGCCGGCAGCGCCCGCGCAGCCACCGCAACACATCGCCGACGCCAAACAACGGCTCAATGCGCGCACGCAGTACAAAGCACCACCCGTACGCGGACGACGGTCAGTATTTTCATCACTACATAGTATAAAACAAAATCGCTATCCGCCGTCTGTCTCTCCCTAATCTCTATGTATGCTTCGATCTTTAAAACTACGCAACGAATTTTGATGCGGTTTTTTTAACTCGTCGAGTACCGTATTTATAGACACAATTAAAGAACAATAGGTTGCGGTCACCGGTGACCGCTTGGTGTTTGACAGTTTAATAGATAAAGTGATTCTTAAGGAAGGTTTATATGTATAATACTTGCATATTGCACCAGTGCGATATGCAAGTATTACAGTAGCCGGGGCGGGTCGCTAATTATTTGTATAGCAATCAAGCCTCTAAAAGTCCTCTGTTCCAGCCAAAATTCTAAGTTCTTTTAACCATTAAAGATTGCAAAAATTCAGTCGTCCCCAGTCAAAAGATCAGGTAATCAAAAGAAGCAAATAAGTTACTCGAGTAGGTTCTAAGCAATGTAACTTAATAAAAAAAAAGAGTAGGAACTAAATGTAACATGTAACTTTGATATTCAATGTCTACGTTGATTAATTAGCTTTAAATCAGAGCATAGAATTACACTGGGGGATAGTATTGCTTATAGGAAATTCGAGATCTACAGTAAGATAGACGGTGAATGTAACTGCTCTTAGTCATTCAACGTCAGTCGTTTAACTTAGCCGAAATTTATCGAAATCTGTTCCACAATTCAGGGGGGAAAAACGCAATAAAATCTTTTATTAAATGGCGTAACATGACCAACATCAATCTTTTGCAAGCGACTTGCATCCAGCAATCTGTGACTTCAATTTTTTTAAACAAATCTAGGAAACCGAGCTTAGACAAAGCGTCTTTATCCTTATCCTTACTAATATTATAAATCTGAAAGTGAGTTTGTTTGTTTGTTCCACCTTCACGCTGTAACTACTCAACCGATTGCTTTGAATTTTTGCAGACGTAAAGTTAGAAGTCCGGATTTAATAATAGGGTAATTTTTAACCCGGAAAATATTGATATTCCCGAGGAAAAACAAAAGTATTGGTATAAATGTCGCTGTGTCACATAGGCTACTTTTTATTCTTTTGTGACGCGAGAGAAGCCGCGGGTAAAAGCTAGTCTACTATGAACTAATAGTCATTGCATGAGTATTCTGCAGCATTACATAAGCGCATAATTGATAGATGTGCGCGGTAGCCGTTTAGTCTAGATAGAATTCTAAAGCCTCACTCATGTCCGTCACTGTCATTACTCATAATAACTTGGCCTTAGTTTTTTGTTAAGACTCGTTATTATGTTGTCTGTGGACAGACAATATTACCTACATCTATGTTTATAATGTTTAGTTTGCGTAGTATGATTGTTATGCGTATCGTATAGAGATATTTTATTGATAATTTGTAGGACATTATAGTCACTGGCGACTATTTTTGTGTATTCGCAACATAAGATATTCATAATTAAACAATTTATTTTTTATACTTTAGAACCCATTCAAACTTTGTTGAGTTACTCATTCTAAACTCAATGATAGGTACGCATGTAAAAAAGATCAATCAAAGACAATCGAATTCTGATTATCTCGAAAGGAGGGTAAGGGATTTGTTTATTAATTCTTTTTTAAACGTTGCCCCACGCTAGAATTTCCTCCTGTGTCATGGGTGCGTTTACAAACATGCAAGTTCACATACACATGACACCCACACCCGAAACAACAATTTTTGGATGACACTAAGAGTTGTTCCGTGCGGGAATCGAACCCACGACACGTTGCGCGGCAGCCAGCTGGCCAGCCACCGCGCCAACCGTGCAGTCAAATCTTAAGTTTCTTGTTTTTTCAGGTCATCACAAACACGCGATAAGTCTTCAAACAGCCGGTCAGCGTCTGTGGACTCATCACGAGGGGTGTCTCCCCCTCAGCCTCGAGAATATGGCGACTACAGACAAGGACGCGCCAGAGCCTCAGGTAAAACAAACTTTCCAGATTTTCAACCTTATTACAATATACGGATTACAGATACAACTATAGGAATTAATATCCATTGAATTTTACAAATAATTTTCCATATTTTTGACTTCTTTAACTAATTTCATATTTATTTTTTTATTTTCCAGAATCTGTCTCCAGCAATGACTGTCACGATGATCCTTCTCCTCACATGCCAGTGATTAGAAACTCTAGGAATTCACAAAACAGTTCGTCAGGCGACGCCAACGTCAAAGCAAGACAAGCCAGGCTCGCTAGGGACCTTAGCAGCTCTAGGTACGTACAAAATGTTATACGCAAAAATTTACTATCAATTTAAGTCTCGTAATAAATAAGGGGAAAGGAAGGATCTCCATTTTTCTTTTTATTATCTATCTAGCTATACTGATTTTGTTCCTGTCTCCTTGTTTGTTACTATCTAAACAATGAAATAAGACTTTACCCTTCCTTTCCCCTCCCTTAGAAAAAAACAAGATCCCCGCCTATCCTCTATCCACCCAAGTAGTTCTGACCTTATTGTCAAGAAAAATCAAAGCACTGCCGAATCAATAACCAAGAAAGTCCATAAAAATAACAATGAATCAAATACCAAGAAACATCAACAAAGTAAAGTTGATACTAATATCAAAAAAGGACCGAATAAACCTGAACCCAACATTAAAAAAGTTCAACACAGTGCTACTGATCCTGATATCAAGAAAAATCATGGCAACCCTGAGTTAAGTAGCAAAAAGAATCAAACAAGTAGCACTGATTTGAACATGACGAATATCCAACAAAGTAGTACAGATCCGGACATTAAAAAACTAACGACTCAAGCCAAACAAAAAAACAAATTAATTGCAAGAAAACAACAACAGCTAAAGAAACTGGAAGAGATCGTTAACAAGTATAGTGAGAAGAAAAAGGCCGAAGTGGAAGATTTAAAAGATCGATCAAAACTTGCACGGGACAAAAGCCAAATACCGATACCTAAAAAAACGAAGGCTAAGAAGTCAAAGATAGAGAGTAGCGCTGATATTGATCAATTTATTAGTGATGATATTAGAGAAATGACATCAACAGATATCAATGACAATATTAAAACATTTTCTACCTCTAGATCATCACCCTCAGAAGCGTCAGAAGCACATAAAAAATCTAGGATGGAGAGAGATAAAAAAATAAAACTAAGAACTAAAAAGGATACCAAGATTGCTAAAGAAGTGAGCATGAGTCTAGATAGTTTGGAAGAATGCCCAACAACTAGTAGCGATCGAAACTGTCAATCGATTGGGATTAACACAGAACTTTTATGTGTTCCATGCATCATACATGACAACCCTGACCAGAAAAAAATTAACAAGAAAAATAAATCTTCAAGAAAGGACAAAAGGAGTGCTAAGGAACCTGAAAGTAATACCAATCCCGAGCCCGTAGTTGAATTACTCTATAAAAATCCTACTATATCAAATTGTATGGACAGAAACTACATGAGCGATTCCTACATTAAACTAGACACGATCAATTCGAATGTTGATAGTTCTTTGGTTACTCCCAGTACTTCTGGTAATTGTATCGATGAAATGGACTCAATATCAGATGTAACTCGTCGGGACCTTAATGTATCATTGCTGATCATAGAAGATATACAAATATCAAATGCGAATATCAGTGCAGATTCGATAAGTGAAAAAATCGACGAAGAAATTCACGAATTATCTGAAGAGCGTTTCGAAGTGGAGTATGAGCACGATTTAAGTGCAGAAGTATCCTGTAACGGGTCCATAGAAAACAAATATGATGAAGAAAATATCAAAGAAGAAATGGGTCGGCATGGAAGTGGTGAAACATATACAAAATTCATTGAGGATCCAGCAGACCTTGAAGAATTCATGCATATAACTGACAAATTGTTGAGTAACGATCAGGTAGAACAGGAATGTTCGAATGTTGCTAATGACCTAGATCAGTTTCACACGCCGAAAACAAATTCTATTGAAGCTATCGACCAAAAAATGTCTGATACTACAATCAATGAATCAGTTAAACATGAATTCTCTGATACATTTGAGGAGTTGAAGAATAATCTGAGAGAATTGCTTAAAGGGGCTGGGAATTCAGTGAGCGAACTGAGCGAAGCGATAAAGAAATCTGAGGAAATCAATGGAAAAGCTACAAGTTTACCAGACATCAACAGAAGTATCTGTGACATGGAACACATTACCATTTATGAGCTTAAATTCTTAGAAAGAAAACTAGAAGAAGATAATCATCGAGATGAGAAGGACTCTTGTTTTAAGTTACCGGCCATTACGGAATCCAATAAACCTGGAAATAAAGTAGAGTGCGATAATAGAAAAATGCACAAGATATACAAACCGAACAAAAAATTCAAGATGTTGGGTGAACAAACCAGGACTAATAAGGAGTACCAAACGTTTATTGTGAAACAAAATATAAACGACAATAGCGACGGATCAGTGACGTCAGATGTGCCTACGTTGAAGCTGCCACGAATTGAAAACAAAAGGTTAGACTACTTTGTCCTTTTCCTACCCCTTTAACAAGCTTTTAACATTAAATAATATTTACATATTCCCTATTGTATTATGCCCTTTCTTCCGTTTAATCTTGCATTTAGAACTGGAGCATCCTAAAGAAAAACATTGATATCCAAATTGTAATCCTATTATTTATTTATGTATTTGATTGACGACAAAATGTGGTCTCTGTTGTATCTTGTTGACATATGTTATGATTGTAAGTCATCACATTTAAAGTAGACGTCAACTGTTTTACTGTTTTAAAACATATACCAAGCTCAAGTCTAACTCCAAGAACAACTTTCTGGTGAATCATCTATCTATAAAACCAAAATAATAACTTCATTTGTTATTACATTTACAGGCTTGACGACAATTACGATCCATTCGTATCAGCTGCTAGGCAAATGAAAGAACTCATGTCCTCAGACACAAACATTCCCAAAAAAATACAAACTTCCAAAGACCACAGCAGAACCCTTCCTGCCCTCCAACCCGCTAAAGACAAAGGCTCGTCCTCCTATCTACGATCTGATAACAGCAAAATGATAAAAGACACACTTAACAAAACATATCAGAAAACTCCCACACTTCAGAGAATGAAGTCATTCGGTAGCACAAACAATGAAAACAGTACCAACACGTTCGGTGGTCGTTGCAGCTCATTTAGACTTAATAGAAATGACAAAAAGCCTAGTCCAAAATTAAATACAACCTTTACTAAATCCAGTAAAGAAAACATAAGTACAGTCGAAAAGAATTACTTCAATCGAAATAGTAGTTTGAATAGGTCCTTTTCCAGTTACACCGCTTCAAGTTACAGTACTCCTAAGCCTAAAGACAAAATCCCTAAAATTGCTACTTCCATGTATCATAGCTTCCAACGCACGACTATAAAACAACCTGTTAAATTAGATAAAATAAAGAGAGATAACGAGACGAAAGACTTTGTCAATCTCGATGCCATCCTCGCTGACGACAATTCGTCAATGACTGACAGTAATTACATTGATCCAAGGCTCATCAATGAAAATGACAATCTGCCCATCAATGTTAATACCATATTAAATAACCCTGATATCATTAGTAGCATGGAATCTCTTCTCACTACAGAAAACTTGCCTAAAAGATTCGAATCATTTAGTACTGTCAACATAAACAATAACAAAAACTTCAATAATAATATTACTGATCTGTGTAACAAAACAATGAAAGATGAACCGAATAATAACGTTAGTAAAACCCCTGCCCCCACTCTGATGATCTAAGCATTCAGTATGATAAAATTATGTATTCATTAGAGCAAAGTATAGCTTCTAAGACCTCTACTAGAGATGACGATTCTCTATGCGAGGACTTTGACCTTGAAGAATTCATGACTTCATTCGATGAAGAAATACTTAAGCAGAAATTAGAGAACAAACGCACATGTAGTTCCACCACTAGGGTAGTTAAACAGTCCGAGCTTGCTGATAGCAACAGGACATCAGAATTAAATAGTGTTAGTTCATCGCCCAAAGTAGTGAATGGTATGAACCCAGTTAATAAGTCAATGTCTCTAACTTTTAGCAGTAACAATATAGGAAGCGAGAGCCTTTTCCCATCCTCTGTGAAACGTTCCACTTCCCTCCTCGATTCCATCCAAAAGAAGAATACGCTCAAGATAGACAGTGGGAAAAGCCGCCATAAATCCGATCAACTGGAACAAGACCTCATGCAGTCTCTTAAAGATTTTGACAAATTCTACGAAAATGAGAAGAACGAAAACCAGTCTAGTAAAGAGATGCCAAGTTACAATGGAACTGCGAAAAGGATACTCGCATAAAAACTGAACGGAAAATCAAGAAACTTGAAAACCATACCAATGGAAACCACACGCCGAATGGCAAGCAGAGTAATGATTCAGCTTATAGCAGGTTAGTCAGGTAATTGTTTTCATTTAATGCATAAATGCTATTGATTTTTCTACTAGTAAATTACAATTATTTACATAATACAATTGATAAGTCCAGGAAGTGACATATTTTTTTACTTTACAGTTTAAACAGGATATCCCCGTCGAAACTTTCACTATGTACTTCCAAGGAACCCAACGGATTGACATCTTTAGAACAAATCCCAGCGGGTTCGGACTCTAGCGGCAGTCACAAGGAGGACGTGAGGTCAATTTCTAGTGACGAGTTCCTCGCGATGGAGCGGTCGGCAGAGCTAGACGAACCTCTTCCACCTCCAGACCTTTTATTTAAGGAACAAGACAATCATATCGGTGAGCTGACATATCTACATGTATTATCTATTACATTAGGATAGTGCCATAAAGAGCATAAGATAATGTTCGTATAATTGTATCCACAGACAAGCGCGTAAGTTCTCGTGCGTCGTCGCGGCAGAGTCCGACGTGGCGCCCGCGTGCCTCGCTCAGCTCGAGCGGCTCGGAAGCATCCTGGCGAGGCGGCGCGACCAAGCACCTGCGCAATGCCGCCGACCCTCGCGGTTTTGTCACGAGTGTGGCAACAAGTTCCCCGTCGACACCGCCAAGTTCTGCATCGAATGTGGCGTCAAGAGACTCGTCGTCTAACGTCACGGGGAACACTATGTGAGCGACTTCTAGTCTTATAAGTAGTGCCGGTTTATGTAGGCGTACTGGTGATAGATATTGAGTGCCGCGGTGGACGGTGCAGCTGATGCGCCCGGAGCGACAACAGCTACTCGGAAGGGCGCATGCTAACATATTTCACAGCCAGCATGTGATGTTGACGACATACCAGTAAAAGTATTGATATCATGAAACTATACGTATCACGAATGGAATTGTTCTTTTTGTGTGTACAGTTGTCGCGTGATTCTTTTTTAGGATACCAAACAAGCAATGTGTTCTGTAATTATTTGCGTGGTTTAATACATTTTATATATGAGTTTATTGTTGATGACCAAATGATGTAACATTTTGGTACCTAAATGTTGTATCATTGTGAGGAAATGAAAAATACATTCATGTATTTACATATAACATTGTTTAATACTGAAACTGTTAGTTAATCGGATGATTATTACTACCTTAGATTTACCTCAAACTGGAAGTATATTTTTATACTTACTAAAATTTTGGTATGTATTTTGCACAAATAAACAATCTTGGACCACTACTTAGATGTAAAGTGAGAACTTTTCTTATAGTAATGTGTAGCTATCTATAAATTAATAACATAATATTATTTACAAAACGTTACCAAATTGCTATAATTTATGAACTAATTTGTGCCTTCACAATTAACTAGATGATAGTGTCGTGTATTCTGTTGGTCTCTGTTATTTTGTTTGCGAAGTTTTAATTTCTGTTGCAATTTATGTCAAACGAAAACTGGCCAAGGTAGCCTTGGAATTTGTAAGATCTGTGATACAATTCATTTTTGGTAGAACAAAAATTTCATTATAGAAGTTTGGATGAAGTCAAAAATAACTTTTAAGTGCCAATTTCTTTATGTAATTTGGGTTTTTAATGGAATTTTGTGTACATTATTAATTTTTTATTTGCTATTGTGAGCGAATATCATTTTTATTTTTTTTAAATAATATGGATTAAATGATTACCCTTCCAAGGATTTCCATTAACGTCTCTTGTCCACAACATAGTTGGCCATTTTAACAAGACTGATTTTATTTTCAAAGTTTTCGAACTTGATTAATCCTTAGTTACTGTTGTATATTGTTTTTAATAAAATAACGATTTTATCATGTAATAAATTAACATTTTAATGATATTCTATTGTTTCTTCATGTCAATCCCAATAAAATTCCTATTGTAAGTATTGAGTTTTGTTCACAAACAAGATAATGACTTAACTATTGTACTACACTACATAAAAATGCTTAAATTGATATTAATTGCTCATTATTAAACAGTTACGATAGAGGATACTTCTAATTCTTATTCATTTCTATTGGTTACATTGAAGATTGTTAACAGTATATTGTAATTGGGAAATATTACGAAACTTTTAATATAAATGATTTTATTTACAACATCAACAAATCAACATCATATTCTAATAGAAAAAATATAAAACATATGATATTTGTTTTGCTTTAGAATTAAAAATGACAACCAATACCTAAATACTAAGTTATGAATAAGTACTTACAAAGCTATAGTCTAAACATACTCTTGTGTGCTTTTCTAGTAGGTATAGCACCTCTAACCCGCAGCCTTCTTAGAGCTTCACGCAAATGCTTCGGTTGTAATGGTCCAGCTTCGCCAGACTTGTCCAATACCTCCAGAGCTGAAAGAAAGGAAATATATTGTAGGCACAAAAGTATCAAATTAATGTCGAAATACTCAAACGCTACTGAATTTTAAGTCACGCTTAAACCGTCGTGTGCCGGAACGTAGATTCACGTGAGACACAATGTATTTTCTATTGTGTCTAATATACCGGCAGTCAAGCGGTTAAGTATAGTTTTGTCACTACAAATTCATTGTAAAACGAAAGACACAGCACAATATTTAAGTACAACTTAAAATTGAGTAGCCTTTCAGTTTGGATTTTAAAAATTCACCTTTATCATAGACACCATAGTCAAGACTAGGCTTGTATAAAACAAAAGTACAACAAATTCACATCTTTACTGCCTAGGATTAAAACACTTAACAAAAACCAGGGCTATTCCTGAAGATGCTATTTAGTCTAGTATTTTAAGATTTGTGGAAAATTACACCTATTAATTAACATTCAGCCATCTTTAAAAACTTTTTAACTATCACTACCACTATTTAAACTGTCAAACACCGAGCGGTCACCGGTGACCGCAACCTATTGTTCTTTAAACTGTCAAACACCAAGCGGTCACCGGTGACCGCAACCTATTGTTCTATAATTGTGTCAATAATGACGGTACTCAACGAGTTAATTGTGTCTATAATGACGGTACTTAACGAGTTAATTGTGTATAATGTATAATTAATTAATTACATACACAATTTAGATTCAAAACAATTCTAATCAAAGTAAAATTTTACTTTGACAAGATGTAATTTAGACAATTCTGCTTACCTTCTTCAACAACTTCACCAACAAATACTTTAGCAATACCAGACATGGCAATCACAACATTCTGTCCGACTGAACATCCTGTGATAGTCTGCATCAGCCTTTTTATAGCAGCCTTGGGAAACGCAGCTCGACGGTACATTTCATACCTATCCAACTGTTCTTCTGTGAAGTTTGAGACTAGAACCCTGTAAAATAATAGGATTTATGGTCAATAAAATTTATGAGCAGAAAGTATGAATCAGTTAGTCTCTCACTAGGTATATATATGTATAAACATAATTAGAATTATAAGCAGCTACTAGAAGAAAGAGAACTATTATTTTCAAAATGCGGGGCTAATGCCTTAGTTCAATGGGGACATTGGAATTTGTAGAGGAAGCAAGAAAAAGTAAGAATATAACTACTTACTGCATCTTTTCTCGCTCCTCTTCTTCCAACTCCTTTTTACTCTTCTTTTCTCTTTCCCTTTCATTTATTAACATTTCCTCTGTAATTTGAGATTCATATTCCACTGATTCACTCTGTTGGAAGTCATTCATGTTTGGTACAATAGTAGTGTCCTTATTTTCTTCCTCCAATTTGTCAAATTTGTCCTCTGTAAGGTCTACTTGTTGTTGATCAAGGTTTGTGTTGTCAAATGAATATTCGTTTATGTATGGTTCATACTGGTCAGCAAGAGTGTCTGGCTGCGAACTAACAAAAGTGTCAGAGTTGTCTGTGTATATGTTACCAAGTTCATCAGCTCTATGAATAGTCTCTACATTCTGAGAGCTGTCAGAATAGGTTTCAATTACTTCAGTCTCCAAATTGGCATTTTGTGAACTCTCCCCATAGTTGACTAATGTTGTATCTGAAAACGGCAATCGTTATTGTTACAAAATTTTGGATAAATAACTTTCTCCACTGATCTATGTTAGAATTAACACATGCAATGTATACTTACATTCAGGTTCATCTTTCAACAACTTCTCTTCTATTTCTAATGATATTTCTTGATCTTCTTCATTTGAGTCACTGTGTTCCAATTCCTGGGCCAATTCGTCTTCTGAAATGATTAATTGTAGTTAGATAATGTGTGTCAGTAAAGGACTTGCCAGTTTCGGCAGAAATAGAATAATTTTAAATAACACCCACCTCTAAGTCTTTCAGCCTCCGAAAGGCCATCGCTGCTAGGATTCTCAGCCATTGTTTTATGATCTCAACACTAAGCAAACTTTCAACTCCAGTTGATTAACTAAAAGTTATTAGAAAATACTACAATAATGCTAAAATAACATTACAAAATATTTACGCATTTTGTGAAGGAGGAACGAACTTCAACGAACCCGGACGTCGCGTTCTCAATACTCGCATAACCTCAGTTATCTGATCTGTGTGTACTTTTAGCATTCGGCAATTGGTGTCTTGCTTTCGCTAACTGTTTTCCATAACTCTATCTTTTTCCATCATTGCCATGCTCAATTTCAGTTATTTACGTTTTGACAGTATAACATAGACAATGCAGATTTGACAGGAATCGCACAGATAATCAAGGGAAAATTTGGGTAGACTATGTCGAAAAGAATTATTTTTTATTTATCTAATAATTTATTTAAATATTAAAATACAGGTAGATGTTCTGCTCTTGTACATTTGATCAAAAGTAAGTAAGCATGTGCGGGAAATACGCATTAGATACTAAACTTTTTAGTTATTTGATAGTCAATACGTCATACATACGTCGCTAATGTCAATTTTGCGTGACTTGTGACAGCTCGCAGCAAGGTAGTGTTCGTGAATGTGATTTTCGATCGCCGAAAAACAAAAAATTGTATTCTTGGTGCGGACAGAGAGTTCCATCATGAGTGCATTAATGAAAGTAGCTGTTTCTCGAAGCCCTGTTTCATTGGTAAGTCCAAACACTTAGTTTTTAATAAATATTCGTAATAACGTTATGTAATCGGTAAACGGCAAAAAAATGTTTTGAACGTACATACCATAAGAAATCTCTCGATTGAGGGATGGTAATCACATTGGAAAGTAGAAATTTGCGTTACAACGCTAAATAAGTAATATCATATGATACTTTTGCATCTAAAATCATAAATTCTGATGGAATATTTTTGGAATGAAGAATGCAAATAAATATTGAGTAATACTTTGTAATACGTGTATAGCTCTTATTATGTCACCTGAAAAACTACAGGTTTTGGTTTGATTAAGGTCATCGAAGTCACCTCTTTAGACAGTACACAACATAAATGTCAATAGTTTAATTTACTTATCACATACACATTGCGTTATTTACATAGTTATCTAGATATAAAACTCACATTTTAATATCATTTAAACACTATACAATATAAATAAACTTACCCACATTATAACTGACTGTATAATACTGTACAATACAAATACATTTAAATTATTTAGAAAATATTCATATAACCAGAGTCGTCTCCAATATCTAATGAGATTTTTACATTTGTACTTAAAATTAATATGATTATGCTACAAATATAATTATGCTTCAGCAGCTACAACAATGTAATATTGTTTCAGGCTTCATATTTATATCGTAACCTGCATTTGTCAGTCGGAGGAGCTACAGCAGTCAGAGATGCCTCAAGCAACACCAATACAACAAAAGCCTACACCGTAATAGACCATAAGCATGATGCGCTGGTCATCGGTGCCGGGGGTGCTGGTCTTCGGGCCGCCTTCGGGTTGGTGCAGGAAGGCTTCAAGACTGCCGTCGTCACTAAACTGTTCCCAACTAGGTCACACACCGTTGCTGCTCAAGGAGGAATCAATGCTGCTTTAGGTAAAGTCTTAATAAACTAGTTTTTCTATATAAGTAGCTCCTATTTTTTGACTGTTAATATTCTTTTGCCAATGCTTGCATGATTAAAAATGCGTACCTGCATTATCAGAGTAAAACTTTTGGATATCAAAAAATTTCAAGAATTGAACTGTCGAAATTGAAATCATCTTGCAATTAGAAATGTGCATTAGCAATTGAAGCATTACGAATTCTCTTTTTTGTACAAATGGATTCATAATAAAAGTCTAATAACTAACAAAAAACATATTTCAGGTAACATGGAGGAGGATAGCTGGCTCTGGCACATGTACGACACTGTGAAGGGATCTGATTGGCTCGGAGACCAGGTAATATTCCACAGAATAATTACTGTCATTTAACTAAAGATAAGAAGTAAATTAGTTTAAATTGTACTGTTGATACACTAACTTATTTTATAACAAGCTTGCTACTTCCACATGGTTTCATCCACTATGCTCAGCACGAATTGATCATAGCGTGATAGGCAAATATATATAGTATTATATAGCCTATAGGCTGTATAATAGGCCTTGCCTGATAAATCGATTATCGGAAAACATCACGCTACAATCAGTAGGCAGCCAGCCAACCAACCATGTGGAAGTACCACACTATGATTTTCTCCTGTGTCGTGGGTGCGTTTACAAACATACAATTTCACATACACATTACACTTAGACCCAGAACCACATTATGTGGATCACACAAAGAGTTGTTCCGTGCGGGAACCGAACCCATTAAGTGGATCACACAAAGAGTTGTTCCGTGCGGGAACCGAACCCGCGACACGTTGCGCAGCAGCCATTTACCCAGCCACCGCACCAACCGTGCAGTCAGATATGAATATCTTGTAGTTCTACCATTAAATAGCTTTGGTTCTGCATCATTCTTTGCATTTGTTTATAAATAGACTTCGTTCACAACCTCAGAACATTGAAATCAAGATCTAAGCCACAACCATAACCTACAGCAACAAATCATTTACATTTTTACTGTAAATCTTAGTTTTTACTTTTCTATAGGTTAATATTTGTATTGATTGAATAGCTATGTCAATATTGCACAACATAGTATTTGCAGATAAATTATCACAGATTTGCAGGTTTATCGTGAATATTAGCCAAACAAATACTCAGTGTTTCGTGTGATATTTGCGCATTTTTAATTTTGAATACTGAAGTCTCATCATAGATAAGGTCAATGGAATTTTGTTTTTATCGCAAAGCAATACAGTAATGTGTCATAAGTCATAATATATGGACTTCAATACACTTCAGCTTGCACAGATTGTAATGTTATGATCCCTCAAAAACTTAAAAGGATTACCCAATAAGATCATGGAATTTTATCTCAATTCGCACCAAATTCGCTCCAGTCTTTAAACTTTTCTGGTAAATAAAAACGAAGATAATGACTGTGAAGTGTAAAGTTCGATTTAAAGTCTTTCTCATTGAAAAATAAGTTATCAATTTGTTAATGTTGTAGTGGAGCCTGTGGTCTATATTTTATTAAACGGTTTTATTTAGCTCACCCCGTTTTTTTCTCGGTTCCTATTGATCATAGCGTGAGCATAGCCTCGATAAATGCACTATCCAAGACAAAAAGAATTATTCAATTCGAACCAGTAGACCCCGAGATTAGCGTTTTCAAACAAACAAACTGTGCAGCTTTGTGTAATAAACATAAAATATACAATGGTAGTGCTTTCATCGTACATAATATTGTAATGGTAAAATACTATGTATAAAATTCACAGTACCAAAATAAATCAAGGTGATTACTAATATTATGTAGTACACAGAAAACCTGTGTTCCTGAAAACATTAATATTTAAAAATCTTTTTTCAGCACCTAGAAATATTACTTGGAATTTTCCATAACACGTTTTTGCGCTGTACACTTAATACACCTATGTGGTACTAATTATTTTCACAGACATAATATTTAATAGTACATATTTTTGTAAACCCAATACCTATTTTAGCATCTAATTTCTTCAAAATCAATTCAGTAGGTTTAATTTTTCAAAATTTCGAAGTCTTTTGACTTTCAAAGTTTGGTGTCAAACAATGTTGAACTGTCTAAAGAATGGATGTTAAATAATCAATAACTGTTCAGATACACATTTTTAAATTAAATAACTGGTTATGTCTAGTCTTCATATTATCAATTGATGACGTCGACTCGATTTAAATAATCTATCTCTTACTTGCGGTAATTTCCATCCATTCTGAAACATATTATGAACTTATTGCGTGCATGTCATTTGTTTACGATTAAGTATTCGATAACCCAAACATACTTTCACTCCCATGATTACGAATATTTCATAGAAGTTTATCTGTATTCTTACCTGCGTCATTTCGAACTGTTTTGCTCGGTATTTAGACATACATACATACATAACTTCACGCCTTTTATCCCTAAAAGGGGTAGGCAGAGTTGCACATTACGGCATTTCATACCACTGCACAATGTTAACACCGTGTCAGTACTTTATAATTCATCTATCCAACTGAACTGATATCTGGCTATGTATTTTATTGGTTATAGTATTCTACTGGTCTGCAAATTAACAATTATAACATTTTTGTGCTGTACTGATTCTTTCATGTCATATAGAACCATAATTGGGAATGCCAGTTTGAATTTTAAAACAAGATTTTTTTTTGAAAACGAGTTTTGAATTCAAGTTGCTTATACAGACGCTAGCACTATAGGTATTTGCATAATCAACCTTGGGTTCTTTGCAATAAGAAACTTAAGGAAAGTCTTTATTAAAAGTACTGTGTTAAAAATCTTATTAGAATTTTCATTGAAAGTTTAGGGCTTAGGTTTACCTCTTGTGTAATTCACAATTATACATTACACAGAGTACGCTATATTATATGTATAGCTATGTATTGTATACGACATACGACACTCAACAATTTAGGAACACACAAAAAGCCTATGGTGGGTGCGTCGTAGCGCAAAAGGCATATGCTATGCTCACCTATATGTATAGGTGAGCATTTTATTTTAATGTAGGTAACATTTTATAATAATTCCCATTATTTAACTAAGGGTAGATTCATGCAGTGGTACGAAACTGAAACAATAAGTATAAACCTATTATGAATTTAATGTTTATTCTAGTATATTAGAAATGAGGAAGTGTACTACAGTCCCCGCAGATGTTTAAAGTACCTACATTAATGGCCAAAAGACTGCTCGATTCCACATGAAATTAAATTTACGGAACACCTGATTAAATACTTTGTGAGCTGATATAGTATGTGTTGCCTTAAGACGATAATACATTTGTAGTCATTTTATGGCGGGATATAATTGATTTACTCTGTTATAATATATGTAGAAAGCAAATCTATGTTCACCTGTAGAATTGTTATCCTACACAATACATGTTATTCTATTCTTGTGAAAATTATAGTTAAATTAAACTATCAAGGATTATACATTAGGCTACTCATCGCTGATTTAAGGATAACTTCTTATAAAATAATTCTACTAAATATAGTTAAACTACTTAATAAACTAATGTTTGTTATAAAATGACCTGTCCAGGTTATTCTTGAAAACTTAATTCTTTAATTTTTCTCTCTCAGGATGCTATCCACTACATGACGAGGGAAGCGCCCCACGCTGTCATCGAGCTGGACAACTACGGCATGCCGTTCTCCCGCACTCCAGAGGGCAGGATCTACCAACGAGCTTTCGGAGGACAGTCACTCAAGTTCGGCAAGGGAGGTCAGGCGCATAGGTGTTGCGCTGTCGCTGACAGGTACATTTATATTTTAAATTTTTATCATTAAATAATGGCATGATAAAATACAATCGACATAGATGGCTGTCGACAATCATTAGACGATATTCGCATGCACTCAATGCGAGCGGTCACAAGAAAGACACCCGGTGGATAGCGAGTTTGCCACAGGATTCTGTTCAAAAAGTGTACTACCGTAAACTTTGCCGATAGGATCATTACCTATGTAGAAAAAAATTCGTCGGCGAGGCAGAATTCATTTAGTAAGCGTCTCATGTCATAAGGGGCAAGTCTATTGCAACGCGTAGAGAACAAATCTGAGCCTCCATGAATGGGAATTCTGAAAATAAAAGTATTATGTAATAATATTTTATACCTCCATGAAATTACAATAGTAGGCAATAGGCAGGCGATTACTTCTACTACTACTTCTTTCTCTTCCTCTAGAACGGGCCACTCACTCCTGCACACACTATACGGCCAGTCTCTGCGATACGACTGCGAGTACTTCATCGAATATTTCGCATTGGACCTGCTGATGGAGGATGGAGTCTGCAAGGGATGCATTGCCATCAACCTGGAAGACGGAACACTGCACAGGTACGATCAGATCTCTTTTTTGCGAAGCTGGATAGTTATCAAATGAGTCTTCCTGCTCTTGTTTCTGGGTGAGGCGGGAAGGACTGTCATACTTTAACTGACTAAAAACTGCTGTTTTAACTCCTACTATGCCGGCGTCGGGGTATATGGCTATCTTCACCCACAATTCGGGCAGGCATCGACTCTAGTATGTCCTATCTAAGCTGGTCTAGTGGCTCTTTGAATTAAATAAATAAATAAATAAAAATTTATTTTCAAACATAATAGTCTAGAGATGTACAGTATTGCTTAAAGCTATATAAAGTTCACAATATAAGGTGCCTGAACTAGGACATCCTGTGTTTCAGGCGAGGTTAGGTAATAGTAATAGACATTGTTATATAATCACTAGTACTTAAATGCTTATAAGTTAAGGTAAATTATGACAATATTTAGTTATGCATACTGATATAAAGTAATACTTAAATTCTATGCTTAATATGTATATAAGAGTATGTATGTAGTATATAAATTAGAGATTAGGAGCTTACGTTAAGTATTATTTAGGAACTAATAATAACTTCTCTGTGTCTTCATAGGACATGTCTTGAAGGGCTTCCTTTAGAATTTTCTTACAGTTACGGATGCTATGGGGGTAAATCCATAAGGTTGCATTTAGTCTATTGTATAGGAGTGGTCCAAGAAATACAAAAAATTTGGTAATAAAAGCGTGCTTTGTACTTTTGGTTGGGCAAACAATATCTCTTCGCCTTTTTTTGGTTATCTCAGGATTGTATGGAAAAGCCGCATGCTGTTTTAGTACCGTGCTCATAATAAAAAGCTGGCGGACTGTTAGTACTTTACAAGAACTATATAGAAGGTTAGTAGGGTAAAGAAAAGATCGGCCAGTAGACACCTTGAGAATCGCTCTTTGGGCTCTTTCAGTGGAAAGCAGTAGAGTCTTATCCGTACCACCCCAAGAGGTAATACAGTAAGTCAATATTGATTGGCACAAGGAGAAATATACCTGTCTGATTATTTTTGGGTCAGCAATATAACGCAGCTTTTTGAACACAAATATGAGCTTACGCAATCTACTGTTTAAAACGCTCAGATGCCGTTTAAAAGAAAGAGTTTCATCTAATATTACACCCAAATATTTTACATTACTACTCTGATTGATAAAAGGGCACATACATTGGTCAGGAATGTTACAGTGATGGGCATACAAGGCTAATGTAGATACTGGGTTTTCCTTCCGAATAGCAAATTTGATGAAGTGTGTCTTATCTGTATTTAATGTTAGTGAGTTACACCGAAGCCAATTATTTACATTATTAAATCCGTGCTGCGCAAGTCTGTAGACTTCAGTTATCGAGTCAGCAGAAAAAAGTAGAGCGGTGTCGTCAGCGTATGACACGATTGTGCCGTGTTCCAGCTTAAGATTGCATAGGTCATTTATGTAAATTAGGAACAATGTAGACGATAATATGCTCCCCTGCGGGACACCGTAGGGGGTGTTTTTAACGTCATCGCTGAGTACTTTACCGATTCTTACACACTGACTGCGGTCTTCTAGATAACTTTGAAAGAATTTAAGCTCCATTCCTCTTATACCTATGATCTCCAGCTTATGCAACAACACAGGAATAGAAATTGTGTCAAAAGCCTTGGCCAAATCCAGGATGACTCCCAAAGTGTAATTAGTTTCTTAGAGAGCAACAAATTAACATACCTACATACATACTTTGTCTAGAGTATGAACCTTGTTTCGATTTAACCAGTCAATCATTGATCAACCTCCTTGCTACTTACAGACAGAAGCATTAGGCACTAGCTTAACCTGAACAAAATAGTAAATACTCATTTATAGTCTATTGTAGGTAAATAACAATATTTACAAATATAATTAGTTTGTTTACAAAAAATATGACATAAGACATTTGTTGAGAATGAGGCTCATCAAATGAAGATTGAGATGATGCTATTTCGCTCAGTCTCACATAACGTATTAATGTCCCTAGCCCCAATACGTAAACAAATTTTAAAAATAAAACTAGTATTAAAAAACTTACTAAATCTAAATATAGATGAAGTGCACATTCAGACATACATTATCTACTAGTTTTTCAAATTAGGTACTTTGAAACGGGATAACATAACTTCGTCCTCATTGGCAAGTAATAGTAAAACATCACCAATCTTGCAGGACTGCATTACTGACATCATCTACATCATAGACAACAACTTAGTTCTATGAATTTTTAAAATTCATCAGATTTAGAATCAAACACATTAATGGAGAGGTTCCATTAATGTAATATCTGTGAAATGTTAAATATTTTTTTTTATTAACAGTGTACCGTTGCACATTAGTACAGCTAACGGTTTATTGATGTCCAATTTTTGTTCATATAAATATAATCCATGAAGTTGCATGCGTCAACCTGAGCTAATTAACTCTCCCATTGTTAGAAACGGTCTCTCTTTGAGATATTCGGTGCAAATTCATAGACATAATAAGACGTGCGATTCGCGACTTTTTTGTCTGAGGGCCGACTTTACAATGCTCGGTTCAATTTTATCAGAGGAATAACTTTGACAATTATTCCATACTAATAACTGTCAAATGTCAATTTTATTTTACATTTAAGAATTACTGATGCCTGAAAAATCAGCCCTAAATCCTCATCGAAATTAAAATTCTATTTTGATCTACCTATCTATACTATTTATTATTCTGTGCCACCAGTGCCATGTCCAATATAAGTCTAAAATTAATAACTCATCTCACACCAAAATCTTTACATTAATATAAAATCAAATTAAAGAAATACTTCTATTGGATTTATATCAAAGACCGATCGATTCCACTATTTTGCAATGAGACCTGTTATCAATTTCGCCTGATAATGGACATGACTTACCTAATACCTATTACACAAATATCAAACACTTACATTTACTTCCTAATCCCACTCAAACAAACTTTCACGGCCTACAGTAACAATTAGAGACATTCTAAAGTTTCATAGTTCAGTACCACAGCACAGTTTAACAGTAAAACTCTCTTTGTATACAAGCGGGTCGATGACCTTAAGGTCAATCCTCTCGCTCCAGTGACCCTGCTAACGAGCCCAGAGTGAACAAAAGCGGCCTGGATATCAAATTATCAACCTCATTGTGTTTTAAATACAATGTATTTTTGTTTACGGGGAATTGTAGCATGGTTTTAAGGTTTGGATAGGTACGGAATAGTGGGTTTTGAAGTTATAGTGTATGTTACTTGTGACGACATAAAGGAGTAATGTTCAAAGTATAGTATTTAAAACAAAGCTCTATCAATCAAGAAGAATTACCATTACATAGCATAATCGTTTCAATTTTTATGTAACCATTATTTGTAATTAGGTTTTGTACCAAAAAGCGTAAAAAACAAACTGCGTAGATTTACATGTAGCATCGCCTAAAATAAACAAAACAAGATAACAGTTTTACAGTACAGATAGACTAAAAGATATGTTTAGATAATGTTTTCTAGGATATTAAATATTTATTTGTTTGGTCTGTAAAATTGGCTGCAAAATCTTAGAAGTTCCACCTTGATAACTAATGAGAACAAAAATGTTACTGGTCATTGAACCTTGGCTTAAAAAATATAATTAGTAAATCTATCTACACTATGATAAGTTATTTTATTCTTCTACAAGTATTTGTAAATTAATTATGTATTATGTTTTCGGCTTACGCAATTATTCGACGACAAACTCGACTAGTTTCAAGCCATGTTAGAGGCTCATATTCATGAGTAGCATTCCGCAAACCGCGACACGGCGGCTGTCGCGCTGCTACAGTAGCAGCTGAAAAACATAATAATTAATTTAGTATGTCTCACGAAAGTAGAAGTAGAAAAGAAACTATTTGCAAAATGTGTAAGAACTCTTTTGACAGCTTTTGGATCCGAAGAAACCTGTTCTTCAACAAATGTATTAAAACATTCATCCGTAAACTCTTATTATCGTTCCAAAATAGAAGTCTACTTACTTACTTTATCATAATTTCTAACACAGTTTTTATCTGAAACCCCAATTTGCTCAAACAACGTTCTTTGCTTGTCTAAAATTTATAAGGTCGCACACTCTTATCATAATTTAATTATACGCAGTCATAAAGTCACTGAAGCAATTAAATTTTTTAACTGTGACAATCTATTTATTGTGTACTATTAGTACTTTTACCCTTGCGCGATAACTACGACATAAAGACCTAAGTGAACGCGAGGTCAAAGGATTGTCGTCCTAATGATCACAAAAAAATTGATGGGAAACCCGTATTAAGAATAGAAGTCTTGTAGTTGACAATGGCATGATGGTGAATCATAAAATACAAAATGCTATCACACTCCAGCACAGAAACCTCCAGTTTTCGCGTACGTGTTGTACGTCACACAATTTGTATTATGACGTCACAGCTGTTCTCTTTCAAACACAGTCTTGTAGTTCCTTCCTCAATGGTAATGGGTTCGTTATCGATTTCAATAACAAACGTGCCTGCCCTACATTGTTATCGTTCTAATTTCTTCTTAGTGCGATGAACTTAACATTAACATAAAGAAAGAGAATAATTTTTTATTTGGCTCCAATGACGATGCAGCAATAACACATCCACTATTTAAATAAGTATTTTATTTCACCAAAAAAAATAAAACAGATAATATGTTAGTAAAAAGAATAATTAAAACAAATATAAAAAAAGTATAACTGGTATGACTACCAAACAAGTTTAAATGAATATATTGTCTACATTTCATCTTCTTTTTTGTTTTTACATAAGCATTTTACATATTGCATATTACCTAAATATGATGTAAAGTTTATGATGTAAAATTCATTCAATTGAAGCAAAAAGTAGCAATACTATTTACAACAGAAAGTTTGAGTTATAATTGCTGTAGCCTAATCTTTGTTTAGTTCTTATCTGTATAGTCTATATACACTTGTTCTGATCTGTTAGCTGTTTTATGAAAGGTTAAATTCCGCATAATCTCTTTTTTTATGGAAGATGCAAGCGAGCTGTCGAACGGATCACCTTTTATAGTTCGTTTTGTCCACCTTTTCATATTAGCTATTAATGACCCTAACGAAGCTCAATGGCTCAGGGTGCAACACGTGCCTTAACCTTTTATTAAAAGCCCTTTCAACGGTTATTTTCCTTCTATTTTTTAAAAGCAAACGCGATAAACATCACATATTCGACATTAAACAATAATTTTCTAAAAATACATTTAGGTACGATAATGCGCCCATAAAGTAGATATGCTTTAAATCACGCGGGTTGCATACGTAAAATATTCGTTATCTATGGAAAATAAAATACCGGATTGCTCCGTTCTTTGTTTATATTTTAAGGCATTACATATACCTAATTTTATCGCTTGCTAATCTATGCTGTTGTGATTGTTGTTGAGTAAACTTTTATCGCATTTATTTGTTTTTTTCCAAACAAACATACATGGAAACTTGATTTTGAATGTCAACAGAATATTTTGTTATCTTGCTTTGTTTTTTGCGTACGACATTGTAGCCGTGTGATGACGGCAGAAATACATTTGTGAATTGCGACCACCTCTATTCGAGTAATGAGCCTACTGTAAAACCACCCCGTTCCTACTCCTGCTTCTAGCCGGAGCCCTGGTAACACATTAAGTTGACCGCGGCTCCGGGTCGTACAGAGCTTAACATTTGACATTGACTGGACAGTGCTCTCTGATAAACCTAGACCTTTTAACTGTCGCGGAGAACCTAACGGGTTACCGGGGTTCCAGCTCGAAGCGCAGGAGAAGCATCGGGGTGATTTTTAGTCAGTAAGAGTCTGACTCTGACTCCCTCCCGCCCCACCCTAGGCAGGAGTAGTCATTCGATGATTTTCCCCGTTAAAAAAAGACCTTTTAACTGCGATCTCTAACTCACCTGCCAACCTTAAAGATTATGGCAAACCCTCTTACGTGGAGAAGGGCATAGGCCAGTGGTAGACTGTCACTGTTGATGATCATGTAAAATGACATTCTGTTTCTATAAGTAGTAACTTAATGCCTCGTCATTGAACCAACCCCACACTACAGACTTACAACAACTGCTTGTAATTTGCAACTTATTACCATTAGTATGAAACTGAAAACAATGATAAGTGATGTTTATGACCATGCGGTAACCGTTTCGTTACATTATTACAGTAACACTTACAAACACATAGCGGGCTATTGTGTTTGTGCCCTTCATGTAGTATTCTCTGGCTAGTCAGGTCATGGCAGTCTAATTGCAGTACAATATGCTGAATAGGCTACTTGCCTATAAGAATAATTTATTTTATATATATTGTATACTGCACTTATAATTTGTTTTTAAATGAATAACATAACACTGAAATACTAAAATTTCACTCAGTTTTAAGCCCCGCTTAAGTATAGTTCTGTCTCTACAAATTCTTTGTAGAATGACAGAGATGGCACGATATTTATTTAAGTACAACTTAAAGTTGAGTATTTTTCAGTATTCTGGCGTAACTACGATTTACACAATTAAATTATAACTATGTACAAATTCAATTTTAACTTCATTTTTAAATTACTTTTGCCACCGAGTTAAGAAGAACCAACTTCTCTCTTTTAGACCTTTTTAAGACCACTAAAAGCTACTTACAACACCTTGATCAATTGAAAAATGCTTTCTTTACCATATTCCATACTTGTAAGCGTGTCGAAGATCGCACTTTATAATGTTCAAGATTATCTCAGAGCCAGAGTGCTACTGCTAAATCTATAGTTCCTTAGTCAGAGTCGACTAAGGAACTTTACATTTACACAATACCTGCGGCAAGACTAGTATTCTACGCTACTGTTACTCACACGGCACTTAAAATTTGAAAACCTCAAAATGTCTTCTTAATTTCCATTCATAAAACATTGCAATCTTCTTTGCGAACATCTGCAAGGTTTACCGGGATTCCGGCTCGAAGCAGTACGATGATGCTATGTAAATAAGTCTGACACTTCCTCTCGCCTCACTCAGAGCAGGAGGACTAATTTCAATACATTTCTCCTTCAAAAAAAAAACATAATTACCTATTCCACATGTCTAAGTAACGTTTTCTTCTTTTGTCCCCTAGATTCCAAGCTAAGAACACGATCTTGGCTACTGGTGGTACCGGGCGGTCGTACTTCAGCTGCACATCAGCCCACACGTGCACTGGTGACGGCACCGCCATGGCTGCTCGTGCTGGTCTCCAGAACGAGGATATGGAGTTCGTTCAGTTCCATCCCACTGGTAAGTTTTGTTGTAATTAGGACTGTATTTTGTTTTAGTTCAGATAGTTTTTTGGTTGTTTTCGCAAACTACTTATAATAATAATGTATACTTTGTATGGAATCTTTTCATGACGTTGTGTCGAATGCTTTTACAGAGTCAAAATCTAGTTAAAACTAGTTTTAGTAATACAAACATACTGGTCATTAACACCGTGATTTTCAAGGCTTTCTCATTCTTAAATTAGTATTTTTATTCGATGGCAATATTGTACATTCATATACAAACTAATAAAAACTTTACGAGATTGTTTGCAGTTCAGAAATGTTCAGACAACTTGCAATGTTACTCGCGGAAATGTTTTTGGTATAATGAGATTTTGTTTTGAAAATATCTACGTCCAATGTCCATAATGTTTACGAATCTGTCTGACCAGTGACGTTTCAATCATGTGACCCTTTCTTCGCACGAATTACCCGAATGTTAATTTGGCCATGTACCAATTATATTATCTATACAAAAATATACGTCGTATATAAACATTTTTGCATTTTATCATCGTACTTTTAAGACACTGGTCTACGAAAACATGTTATTTTAGATTTTTCCTTATTTTTATTTACCTGTAAATAATGAGAAAGGGAATGAGTTACGTATATCGCTTCACGAAAACTAAATTGTTTCAGAGTGCTATAAAAATGTGTTCATTAATCATGTCGGCTGTTATCGTGCGCATGAGTCTATTTTTGTGCGCTCCAAGATAAACTACGTAAACAATATTTTATAGTTTCGTTGCTATAGGAACTTTATTCCATTAACTTTTGTTTTTAACTGTCTTCTGATCGTTATTTAACTCGTCGAGTAACGTATTTATAGACACAATTAAAGAACAATAGGTTGCGGTCACCGGTGACCGCTTGGTGTTTGACAGTTTAATATACAATTAATCATTATCATACTAGCCACAAGACGTCCATTGAACATAGGCCTCGCCCATCCCCCAATGACGGGCAGACCAGCCAGCTTTTTTTTTTTAAATAACAATGTTGCCTCATACTAGGATTTTCTCCAGTGTCGTGAGTGCTCTTACAAACATACAAGTTCATATACACATAACAAATAGACCCGGAACAACAATCTGTGGATCACACAAAGAGTTGTTCCGTGCGGGAATCGAACCCGCGACACGTTGCGCGGCAGTCACCGCACCAACCGTGCAGTCTAGCTGGATCCAGTATCACAAATAAGCATAAATAAGATAATATTTTTTTTCAATTCAACCTTCAATTAACTTAGTGGTTATACACTTAACCTTGGATCGATATTCCTATTTTTGGCAAGCCCCTACTGCACGTAACATAGCAAGCGTTGTTATGAACATTTAAGATATTTGGCAAGGTCCCAAAGTATCCGTGTATGTAGTTTTTATTCAAAGCTAGCTATAATACCTTGAACTTGTTTGTGATGAGTAAATTTCATATTGATGCTTGTTTAGGATCTCCTAGATATTTAGATTTTATTAGGATACGTATACATTGTCCTAAGTGTTCTAACGAATAGAAGTTTTTCTGTGTCTAATACGAGCACATAAATTAATGAACATAGACCAACCCAACCACTGCACCTAATACATGTGTAGCATATTGTATGAAATAAAGTTCAACCCTATGAGATGAGATTGACAATATAAATGGTCTTCTCTGTTTACCAGGTATCTACGGTGCCGGTTGTCTGATGACTGAAGGTTGCCGTGGTGAAGGTGGTTTCTTGGTGAACGCGAAGGGTGAGCGCTTCATGGAGCGTTATGCTCCCGTCGCTAAGGACTTGGCCAGTCGTGACGTCGTCTCCAGGGCCATGACTGTTGAAATTATGGAAGGTAAGCCTGTTTCAAGATATTTTGTTCCAACTTTTATTAGTGTTTTGTGGTAGAAGAGATTTTAAGTGTGAAGTTGATTTAGGTTATTGACTGTATTCTGAATTGCCTGAAAGACGAGTGATTTTAAGCTTGACTACCGGAACATCAAGTACAATGTTATTTGTTATTTCGATCAGATAATTCTTAGTATTTTATTAGCTCGGTGTCTGCGAACTACCGATCAATAATCGGGGCCAGGGTCAACCCTGTAACAGTAGGTTTAAGAACATATTCACATAGCTAAAGAACACGAGGACTTCAAATAATAAGAAAACTGATTTTATGTTGTTACTATGCGTGTCAGTATAACATAAAAATAAACAATTAAAGCATTTTAAACGTCACAACACGGAATGCGGTAAATGACGAAAGGACAACAGTACAAAGTGTAAACCATCGGAAAATCCCTACCACAATAATAAATAATTAGTGCAAATATAAACGTTTAAGTGGCTAACTAACTGTGCCTATAAACGTACCGTTTAACCACAGTTATGTAAGCGAGGCTACTAAGAACAATAGATAATTTAACCGTTTCATGCAAGCAGTAGTTATAATAGTTATTTCTTCACACCTGCTCTGAATAGTTATTCAGTTCGTTATTATAGATTTTATGTTGTTTACGAGATAATAAATTGATAAATAATGATTTGTGTGCACTTAATGTTTATATGATGTAACTTATAGATCATAAATACTCGCGATTTAATTTTTACTGAAGGGAATTCCAACAGATTGTATCGTTTTTTGTCTTTACAATAACTGTAGTGAGACATGCTGGATTAAATAAAAATTATGAGTTGCTCACGTAAATATACTGAGAAAAGCTCTACTAGTTTCGAGTCACAGGGGACTGTTTCTATTGAGACTAGGCTGCGCGACATCGCCGCGACCGCGCACGCTGCTCACGAGGCAGAGTCCCTCTGTGACTCGCAACTACTAGGTACTTGTTTACTATCTAAGAAAAGAGTAAGTTTCTTAGAAAAGTTGTAGTGCTTTTCTCGGTATATGTATTTACGTGAGTTACGCGTAACTTTTAGTTCATTCACATTGTATAGTTGTCGTGTCATCATCGTATCAGCCACACTTCTATTGTTGAACATAGGTTTCCCCTAACGTTGTATTAGATATTTCTTAAAGCCATAGGCTCACCCCCTATTACATCGGACTAGGACTTGTTGTATAGTTGAGAGAAAAGTTATACAGGCGATATAGTAGTTAAACGTCGGCCCATCAAATATGGAAAAAACATGATATTATGCTACTTTTTCTCACCTTTCGCGGAGTAAAAGCCTATCTATGGGTAAATATTTCTAAACTAATGCAACATATTCTCCCACCAGGTCGCGGTTGCGGTCCCGAAAAGGACCACGTACACCTCCAACTGCACCACTTGCCCCCGGAACAGCTGAAGCAGCGTCTGCCAGGTATCTCGGAGACTGCCATGATCTTCGCAGGAGTCGACGTCACAAAGGAACCCATTCCAGTACTACCCACCGTGCATTACAACATGGGAGGTACTCCCACCAATTTCCGTGGAGAGGTTTGTCTATTTTTGTTAGTTTTGGAACTTAATATACTCTTTATGAATATTGCAATAAGACTGTAAAAACGGTATTATGAATAATTCTTTTATAAACTTTGGTTTACGAAACCGACTTCAACCTTTTTATGAGGTCTGTTAAATATACTAAAACTTTCTCCTAATTTCAACAAACACTTTTCTGAAAACCACATATAAATAGGTTCAGTCATATATACATACATATATACATACAACATGCATCTCTTTGCATGAATCTCTTTTTCTCAGTTGAATGACGTGATTATATACGGATAATAACGACATCTAACTGATAGTTTGACTGTTCTAAACCCACATTTAAACTTAAATCATCATAATTTGAAACATAATATCCTGTAGGTAGGATTGTAAAGTGTAATATTTAATCCATTTATGATATCGAATGCGCAATTTATTATTGTTTATTTCCTACACAAATGCGTTTTCCTGATTTACTGCGCATTATTTTTTCTCGCGCTCTAATTTCAAGATAACGTAGTAATATAGTAGGTTTACACATTATAGGGAATTGTATGAGACGCGTTATCATCTTGAGGTCAGCTATGAGTGTTTCCTTTGAGTGCAAACGAATAATATACTCATTAAAGTCGTATATGACATATTGATTGATTGAACTATCAACCCTTTGGCGCGTTCCACTCGAGTATTAAGCACAAAGAACATATAACGGCGCCATTTAACTTTATTATAAAGGGCAAGCGTACTCATTGACATTATACGGAGTACCTACTTAGTGCGCTGTAATATCATGCTAGAATGTTCCAGCAAACTATTGCACTAACAAAACGTGACATTTTAACAAAAGAAGTGCATAGATATTTATTTGTTTCTTTTCTTGTGCATAGATACTTTTTGTTTCTTTTCGCTTCGTTTCAAGGTTACGATATTTTTATTGGAGTTAGTGTTATTAGATTAAATTTATATTCAATCTCTAATCGTGTAAGAAACTAAGACAAATTAATTAAGTAAATCGGGTTACTCGCGTGCATATACTGAGAAAAGCTCTACTAGCTCACTGAGCTCACAGAGTGAGCTGCGCGACGTCGCCGCGACTGCGCACGCTGCTCATGTGGAAGAACCCCTCTTGAAGTATGTTGTATGTGGTTCGAAACTACTAGTAGTTTCGAACCACATACAACATACTGAGAAAAGCTCTACAGCTTTTCTCAGTATATTCACGTGAGTAACCCGCGATTTTACTTAATTTAGTATGTCTCACTATAGTTATTATAAAAATATAAGACAAATCAATTACAATCATAAGTTAAATTACTTGTTGTTACTTACAATCTTTACTGGATTAGCTAGTTCCAGCAGTCACATGTGTCATATCGAATGACTAAAAGAATGTTTGACGAGGAACTCGACTAGTTTCAAGCCATGCTAGAGGCTCATATTCATAAACAGCATTTCGCGACCCGCGACGCGGCGACTGTCGCGCTGGTACTGAACCGAAAACATAATTTATTTAATTGTGTCTACGAAAGTTGTAATACAAATATATACTAAAGAATATTTGAAAGAATGTTTGAAATGCATTGAAGCATTCTTTATCATACGCATAAATACACTTTAATCAAGCGACCTGATCCCTAAAACACATAAATTCACTGAATTACCTTAATGTAAAGTTTACATTAAGTTTCTTTTAACCGACACGTCGTTATGCGTATGATCGTCACAGAATAAGGTCCAATTTCACGTTCGTCACTCAAAGTGCCGCTTAACCTTTGTATGAACAATGACGTTAGAAATTAAAAAGTAACTAACGCTTGAATACGGAGGGCCAAGCACGAATAACTATCGCATTCGTATCGTAACAGTATCGAGCGAGTTGAGCGTTGATTGGTTGGTTCACATGGCCAGCCAATCAGAGCGCCGAACGCGCTTGATACTATTACGTTACGAATGCGATAGTTATCCGTGCTTGACACTCTGAAAGGCTACCCAATTTTAAGTCGTATTTAAGAACATTTCTGTCTCTACAAATTCTTAGTAAAATAATAGAGGTGGCACTATATTAAAGAACAACTTAAAATTAAGTAACCTTTCAGAGACCATGTTTGACGCTGTGATTGGTTGGTTCATCGGAGCCGGCCAATCAGAGCGCCGAACGTGTACCCGTTTCGATAACTTCAAACGTGAAGCAAACTTGTACTGAGGCCTCAGTATTCGGGCGTAAATCATAACTACGTTACCCTCACTACAAAAGCATCCTTCATAACATAACATAACATCACGCCTTTTATCCCCGAAGGGGTAGGCAGAGGTGCACATTATGCCACTGTACAATGTAACACCCACGTTTCACTATTTATGTTATGAGTCCCATGTAATAGGGGGTGAGCCTATTGCCATATACCGGGCACAATTCCAGACTCCGTGCTACTACTGAGAATTTTTTAAAAACCCAGTAATACTTTGCCCGACCCGGGAATCGAACCCGAGACCCCTTGCCTGGCAGTCGCACTTGCGACCATTCTGCCAACGAGGCAATCAAAGAAGCATCCTTCTTATTTTGAAAATAATATAGCAGTTAATAACGACATCCATTTGGTACCCAGGTTATCACGCACTACAACGGAGCAGACAAAGTAGTCCCTGGTCTCCTGGCCGCTGGTGAAGCGTCCTGTGCATCAGTACACGGTGCCAACCGCCTTGGAGCCAACTCATTACTGGACATCGTCGTCTTCGGCCGCGCCTGCGCCCTGACTGTCGCTGAAACCAGCAAGCCTGGTGATGCGCAATCCCCTCTTAAAGATGTAAGTCTTATTTTGTTATAGTTATTATTATTGTCAGTTATAAACTTAATAGCATTGTTTTCACAACTCAGGGTATAAATTCATACTTAGTGCCTGTTACTATATTAGCTCATCATAACATCCCCGAAAGGATAGGCAGACATTACGGCACTTAATGCCACTGTACAATGTAACACCCACTTTTCACTATTTATGTTATGGGTAATGTTCCATGTAATAGGTGGTGAGCCTATTGTCACAATTCCAGACTCTGTGCTACTACTAAGAATTTTTACTATATTAGCTAGCAATAGTAATTAGAGTCCGCAGTTCGAAATCAACACTCCATACTCGACCTGCCGGCCCCTGGACATTAACAACAGAATTTCGCTTTAAATTGTAAATAATTATAACATATATCGTTATATGATACGATATGTATGATATATATGATACGATTCCTAAAGTATTCATTTCAATAGATATTTATATGCTTATAAAAATACAATTTGTCAACGTTCACGGTTGGGTAACTTAAATTAGCTATCTGATATATTCTGTTTTGGAGGGGTCATGTCCCTCTCCGTACCTCCTTCCATCGCGACGTTGACCATGAAGATGATAGTAGTTGTCTCTCTCATAAAGGCACCTCACTATTCAATTTTTTTTCCATTACACCAACATTTATTAGGCTTATTTTGATTGCTACGTTAAAAGCTAATTTGTCTAACGCCAGACCTTGTTAGGTTTCATCATTAGCCCCCACATACGTCATTATTACTGTTTCCATCTACCGGCGTAAGACGTCAGTTCAAAGTTCACCAGTAATCTACATAGATGTCACTACTGTGTTGTTACTATAGACTAAATACTAAATGACGTCAAGGTGTTTTGATTGGTTTCTTGGTACCTTTATAGTTCTGTAATGTGTTGAATCGTTTCGAGTTCCAGTCTTATTGTTTTACTTTTAAAGTTGAATATGTAATGAAAATTTTGGCATTTTGGTGTTAGCTTGATGTTCTGACGTTTGTACATAATTTGATTTAAGTGATTGGTATCTATTTCTTGCAGTCTTACCGTTTTACCGACTTAAACAATACTTTATATTGTCTTAAATTACAATTTTATTGTATTTCTTTTATCAAGGCCAAATTTGTAAAACCCTTCATAAAAAAACATGTATTCGCGCTAAAAATAAACTTGATGACTTCAAAATTAACTTAATTCAAGAATTAATTTCAATATTGCGCAACTTGACCCTCGACCCAAGATCGGCAACGGACGACTTATTTTAATCTTCGGTCACACTTTGTTCCAAAAGAAACACCTTGATAAACAAAGTTACCTGACAACAGGTATCCAAAACCTAACCTATAAAATTACCATCTTATACATTTTCCATGGATTTGTTCCAAAGAGTATTTATGCATTAGAATGGTCTTTTAAAAGTCAATACCGTTGAAAGTGACAGTTGTTTCCATAAATTAATAAATAAACATAAATAATAGAACAGCGTAGGAGTTGTCATTGACACGGTTCACGTTTGTGGCGCAGGACGTCTAGTTCCTCGTCACTGATGACAGTGATGACGTCACGGAATATTTTGACACACCCATCTGATGATTTTATTTTGATAATGCAGATAAAATATCATATTGAAAATGCATAATACACGTCGTATGTACAGTGGGCAGCAAGCATGTGAAGCTACTCTAGTCTGGCATTATTTTATTGGATTGTCGACTTTACATAAAAGTAATAAAGTTGAAAAACGACTGAAGAAATTCAGAAAGGGACTAAGTTGAGTTGCTGTACACTGTATTATCTCTGATTTATCGACAATAACAACTTGGTATTGTGCATAATAATTGTAAAAACGTCAGTATTATGTGCACAAGTGTAACTGTAAATATTACCAAACGATATTACTTGTTGTCTGTTTAATGAAAAATGACGTTATAAAAATGAACTCTAAAGCCGTAAACAACAATAATGTCACCACCATACAATTGTAAAAGAGACGTAAAGCATGCAATCGTTAAAAAATATGTAAAATTTCTTTGTTTGAATTTTATGATGCTTGTCCGTCAAACACGTTGAAACTACTGAACGGATTTTGATGAAATAAGGTATGCAGGCAACCCTGCCTGCAAACTGATAAAAACTGCCCATGGGTATGGGCTGACTTAGGTGATAGAATACATTTTTATCCCGATTTCTTATTATTTATTAAATGCTCCCATAGGACAAAACAGGAATCATATTCTACGCGGACGAAGTCGCGAGCAACAGCTATTTAATTTTATTTCTCATAATGACGTGATGACAAATTATAATACATTTATTAGTCACCACCCATACTCTTCCCGCGGGTGTAGAACCGATTATGTAGTAGCGCTCTCTGATAAAGATAAAATGCTATTTTAAACTGCGATCTCCAACCCGCCTGCCACCGTGGAGATTATGGCAAACTTCTCTTTTATAAAGGACGTCCATACTCCATGGTAGAGGCATTAGTACGAGTCCGTTTTACGTTTAAAATACTCTGAACGAAACCGCGTTCGGGGCTCTGATTGCCCGGTGCCAACGAACCAACCAATCAGAGCGCAAACGCGGTTTCGTTTCCATTACTTTAAATGTAAAACAATCTCGTACTTTCGAATTTCTTCAGTCGTTTTTCAACTTTATTTCTTTGATGGAAAGTCGACAATCCAATAAAATAACAAATCAGAGGATTCTCACGGGTTGAGTTTATGAATTTGAATTTGTATTTGAGTACGGATTAATGTAAGAACTATCTGTAATTTCGTATGAAAATAGCTATTTATGACGTCACATGTTTTGTAGCCAAATTGCATACTTATCAACAAATCAACATAAAAATTTTGTTATCAGTGTAATGAAACTAGCGTTACAATAAGTTTAACAAAATTGTATTAAACAAATAAATTTATAAAAGATATGTTTAATCGTATCTCCGGTTTGTATTAAATTAGGACATTAATATAATTTTATCATCACATTAGCCACAAGACGTCCTCTGGAGATAGGCCTCCCCGTATGATCAGATTGGTCTATTGGAAGCGACCATCATCCAGCAGCGACTCCAGGCCGCTGGTTAAAAGGTTCAGAGGGGGCTTAATACGAGTCATTGGCCGGCTCCAATGCACCATCCAATCACAGTACCGAATACGGTCTCGTTTAAACAAAGAGCTTTATCAAAGAGCGCTGCTCCTCAATATCACCCGCCCGGATGGGTGTGGTGACTTGGTGAAAAATATATTGTACTCTGCCGTCATTGCGCGACCATTTCACGGGTATTATGTGTACAAAGAAGTGTATAAAAAATATTCCTGCCAAGTTTGTTTGCGTCGCAAATTTTCCGTCTCATGTAGCACCGGTTTTTGTTTTTATTACTTTTTATAGTTTTTATACAACCCACGTGCAATAAAGGCGCTTTAAATGGCCGTTTAGTTATTCTTCACTTTAGTTTTTTGTAACGTTTAATTAATGTATGTCTTGTTATTGTTTTATGAAACGATTTCTTATGGATGTTCGCCAAAAGATTTTGTTAATTAGGAATTTGTGTTGTCGCGACAATTTTGGATATTCTTGCCTTGTGCCAAGTTTTTTGTATATGGGAATCTTCTGAGACTGTGTCTAGACCTCTATACAGGTTCAGATTCACTCCGTTTTGTCATTGAATTTAGTAAACACTGTATTTTTTATGGTAGATTAGATGAGACATGTCTACTGTTTTAATATTGTAAGTCGATCTTTAAATTAAAAAAATATTGTTTGTTGCAACTCTATGAACTTGCAAATTATCAGCAAAGATATCGCCAAATCAAACTCAACTACTTTAAAAAAAAGAAATAGCCCACACTAGAGATTTTCTCCTGTGACGTGGATGCGTATACAAACATTCAAGTACTTGTACATATACTTGACACCCAGACCCAGAGCAAAAATCTCACTCAAAGAGTTGTTCCGAACAAATTCTATTTTTCAAATACCTAATTCTCAAATCGCTAATAATAATAAGAATGATATGTGAGTGCTCTAAAAGCAGTGGCGTGCTTATCATGCGCATGCGTACTTATATACAGTATACACACAGGCCGCTGAGAAGGAACAGAGACATTTAAACATGTAACCTCTTATTATCTACACTATATTTTGACCTTCTTAACTCTTTTGCGGTATTACGCACTGCGATATCAATTCTCTTCTTAATATAGTGTTATTGTCACTTGATCGTTAGTTTATGCTGCTGTATAAGTAATATGTCGGGTGATAGCAAGTAGGATTGTGGTCGAGTAAGGTTTAGTTCGATTGGATTGAAAAAGTATGTATATTATCGGTCTAATAGCAACAGGATTCTGAAATAGTATCCAGCTCATGGCATAATTTTATCAAAAGTGGGTCTTGTATATTTTGACATGTTCGTCACTGCCTACCAATCCTACTGATGATGATATTTGTTATGTTTTCGCTTATTTTGAAACCAGGAACGATGCTTATAATTTATCTTATAAATTTAAACAACCACTGTCTGTCCCTGGTTTATAAAATGGAAAATCTCAATGTTATTGAAATCTTGTACATTTATAAACATTATAAGACGTGTATTTAATATTTAAAGATACATAATACATTATTAATTTATACAGTCGACCGGCGAGGCTAGCATTGCGAACCTGGACAAGGTGAGGTACGCTAACGGCTCGATCTCGACCGCTGACCTGCGTCTGCGCATGCAAAAGTGCATGCAGAAGAACGCTGCTGTGTTTAGGCAGAAGAGCACGCTTGAAGAAGGTATGTTAATATTAAAATAGTATTTAGTTCAGAATATAAAGACTTTATCTTTAAAGGCCTTATCTTGCCACAGACCCTATTAAATTCGTCGACTAAATAAAAACTATAGAAGTTTCTCCAATATCAACTTTATCAACAGGCCAACGCCTCATCCACGACATCTACAAGCAGATCAAGGACGTTAAAGTTTCCGATCGTTCCCTAATCTGGAACAGCGACTTGATCGAGACCTTGGAGCTGCAGAACCTGCTTATCAACTCGGTACAGATTGTGGAGGGCGCCCTCGCTCGTGAGGAATCTCGTGGTGCTCATGCCCGCGAGGACTTCAAGACCCGTCGCGATGAACTTGATTATTCCAAACCTTTAGATGGACAGGTGAGATGATCCAACTCTTTTATGTAATAAGGCTGATGGAACTGCTGATGGTATGCAATCGACACCGCCCATTGACATTTGCAACATTAGAAAAGTTCAAGTGCGTTGTTTGCCTTGAACTATCTTTTACAATAGTTCCTATCTATGGCATTGCAGACAGCTATGACTGCGAATGTGTTTATAACCTTTATTTACAACTTTATTTGTCTTTTTGTAGACATTTTTTACTTAAATGTAGAAAGGATATTGTTTGTTTATATGAGGTTGGATTTGTTGTTCACTAGTATTTTTTGTTGAGTTTCTTTTTATAAAACAGAGTATTTAATGTTCACATAAATGACTTAGAGACTAGAACCCGCAATACATTGGACAGTAGTAGTCCAGTGATAACACTGCTAATCATGCAGTCAAAACAATGTTGTCTAATTTTAGCCATTACTATATTCTTTTGTTATTGTATCTAATAAGAAAGAAATAGCAAAGCGGTAGATAGCAAATAAATAGTGTTTTTAATGCTTTATTATAGGTGTAAGTAATTACACAAAGAGGTTGCTGACCGTTCAAAGTTTATGATTAATAGACCGCGACGTGAAATTATCTAGAGATGAGATAATACCGAGCGCACGCTCGCGCAACGTGACAGCGGTAGAGTAGTGCCACTATTATTATCGATAATCGATAGATAGTTAGCAAATTATGTAGTAGAGCACCATCATTTCGTTACAAACCTGTATTGCGCCCACTTGTTTGGTTATTATGTTCCAAGGTCTGCGAATTTCGTTAAAACTGGTTTGTGTTGTACGCAGACAGAGTTACTTATTTCCGCATGTATATTTTTTATACGTGTAGCTCACGGTAACTGCCTGGTCGCTGGTCCTTATTGTTGTATTGTGGTTTCAAAACTCAACTCGGACGTTACTTAGGGCTTAATACGGTATTTGACAACTAGTTACATTCAATACTGTTTTTGATCTGTCTTCTATGAATGAAACGACAGTTTTCTATGAATTTTGTACGAGTTTCTGAATTGTGACGTCACGTTTTTTTTACGACAAACAGCGTACTTATGTATTTAAAATTTGGTGGAAAAATATTAAGTAAGATTTAGAAATTTTTATTTAATTATTTTTTAATATTTCATTGTATTGAACGGTTGAAATAATAAATTTTGATTAAGAAAGGTACCCAATTGTCTGTTAGGTGATAGAAATAATAACGTAATGATAATAGCTAAGTTCACGAACAGGTGTAGGTTTATTAGGTTAGGTTACTAAAGCAATTATTACGTACCTACCTGTGCCATAATAATGTATTCAATGGCATATTTATTACATAACATCACGCCTTTTTTATCCCCGAAGGGGTAGGCAGAGGTGCACATTATACGACCGTACAATGTAACACCCACTTTTCGTTATTTATGTTATGAGTCCCATGTAATAGGGGGTGAGCCTATTGCCATATACCGGGCACAATTCCAGACTCCTTGCTACTACTGAGAATTTTGAAAAAACCCAGTAATACTTTGCCCGACCCGGGAATCGTACCCGAGACCACTTGCCCGGCAGTCGCACTTGCGACTACTCGGCCAACGAGGCAGTCTATTATTGTTATAAATAAACACGTTGCCAATTATTATATATCATTTTAACACAGACTAAACTGCCCTTCGAGCAACATTGGAGAAAGCACACTCTAGCAGAGACGAACATAGAGACGGGCGAGACCAAACTGTCATACAGACCTGTCATCGACGACACACTCAATGCGCAGGAGTGCAAGACTGTGCCACCAGTCATCAGGACCTATTAACACAACTTGTAGTTGAAGTTACGTAAGTATATTCCATCAAAACATTTTTAAAATTACCTTTTATCATTATTATATCACTGCTAGACTATGGGTTTCCTCTATATGTATAAATGGATATCGCGGTAAACCACGCTCGGCAGACAGGTTGAAAAGGTCGCAGTTAAAAAGGGTCCAATTTTCATCTTTGTTGATATGTAGTCCCCTAGTCGACTTTTATCATACCGAAATATGAATGTACTTTGCCGTCATTACATACCAGAAATGATTTTTTTAACTAAATTACGGAAAACGTACTTTATTTACATTTATATAAGAAACAATTTACAACTTAAATTACACAAAAATGTAATAAAAGAAAACTAAAAATAACTATTTATATGATAACTTTAAGATCAAATATTAATACTATGTTTTATTTCCAGGTAATAATTATAATTTTCTCAACATGGGTGCTGACTGAGCCATTCAGTATTGTCACAGCGACTGCCCTGCCCACGTAGTGTTCATTTCAACCTATTTATATCATTAATAATTTATTTTTAGTTTAGACATGATTAAGTTTAACAGCTTATTACAGAAAGAATACTCTCTAAATTTCAACTAACACAGGTCCTAAGTCGTTCAGTACAAACACAGTGCCAGATTGTACGTTCCTTTTGATATTGTAACATATATATTTTATGTTAATCATGGACAAATATTGTTATATATTTCGTAAATAATAAATATCAGCATTTATTATGATTTTATTATACTTATACTGTCTCCAGCAGCCCCAGGGTACTTAAGAAATTTATTGTTAGATACAAGTGCCACATCTCCTGCAGTCACCGTCTGATGCAGCGGTTACAGGTCTTCGATATTTTAATGAAATTATCGCTTAGCCTGGATGCTAACCGTGATGAGTTTTTTATGGATGTTATATTCACAATGGGAATCATTTTTGTTATAATCTTTAAACACAATTTACGAATCTTGAGCACAAAATAACTATCGGGTTTTGTCTCAAACTATTTTCTAAGGTTCGTATCGTTTAGTATGTTTGTAACGCATTTTTAAATAAATTGATAATGTTACATTTTTTGTGTAAAATTTATTTCGTGTTCAGTATTACGGTGAAATTAAAATTAAATCATGAATGTACAACACTTGTGTAGATGTTAAGACAAAGATGTAAAATATTAAATATTATTAATAAAAAACAGCACCATACTTATGTATTTTTATTTTTTTATAGGTACCTGTTACGGCTTAGCTGTTATGTAGACCCTTCTACGCAAATAGCACTTTTATTCTCTTTGATATAAAGTTCAAACTACATGTTAAACGCTCGTGTAATGTCTACAACTGAGTAAACAAAGATAGAATCACACAGAGTTCGACTTTCGAGTCCGCGTCGTATACTTTTAGCATTGGTTTTCCTTATGACTTGTCTCAGTAACTGCGAGAGTATACGATTACTCATAAAAGAAGAAAGCTTGCATTGTTTGTCTACACCATACACACGACCACGTTGTCTAGTTCAGTACATACAAAACAAAACATACAGAATTAGCACTATTAGCGGAATAAGCAATTAATTTAGCAAAACAATCACTTCGATTGAACACTTGTCATCGTCAATTTGTATTTTAACTTACGCAAGTAGATTTCTGCATTCAGTAACTTATGTACCTATACATGCAAAGAAAAAAAATATTGATTTTAAATTTAAAATAACACTTTGGGAAGCCAAATAGCTTTTTACCCGGAAATTCCTACAGGATCGGGACCAGCTCATACGACGGGGCGAAGCACCACGCAGAAAGATAGTAAATCACAAAAGACTGCAATTTTATTGTAAATCTTCGTGCATACAAACAAATTATTCCACAGCTACGAATTAGCAATTGGAACGTTGAACCGCCGGTTTATCTAAGTAGGTACGTTTATATACACTACGAATGGAAATTTACCTAAATCTGATCTTTGCAATCTATTATACTAATTGGCAATGGAAACCCAGGAACTGAACAAATTGGCATTCACAGATAATACAGTACATGACGCCGAGTACTACACGGACACGGGTAACACTATCACGCACTCTTTCTATAAAGGGACAATATAAAGATTTTACTTTCAGATATCTTGTAGATAGTTAGCTATTTTAGTAGGTAGTTAATTTTATAGGTGCATACTTCATTTAGTTCATGCCCCGTAACTTTGTGTACAATTAGGCAATAATACGACCTTTTTTCCATGAGGTAAGGTAGAAATCAGTTCGTTAGTACCCACAATTTATTATAACGTTATAAGAATTTTACTTACTACAAGAAGAGAAGTCTTTTTTTTAAGGGGGGGAAATCATCGAATGATTGATCCCGCCTGGGTGAGGCGGGAGGGAGTGTCAGACTCTTCCTGACTAAAAACCACCCCGTTCCTTCTCCTGCGCGTCGAGCCGGAGACCGAGTAACTCGTTAGGTTCTCCGCGACAAGAAGAGAAGTCTATAAGCGTGTTGAATGAACTTTTCTAAGATTTCTTACCTAAATATGAAAAAAATAACGATATTTTTGGCTCATTTGCACAAAATTAAAAAAAGTACACAAATAGATTAACAAGACGACCGCCTTGGCCACCTAGACCCGGAGGTGTAGTACCTAATATTGCTAACATTCAAACACCTGTAAAAGGTTAGAAATCTACACAATTTATTTTATTATACCGGTCTACCATATATATGCCGAGCACTATAACAGCATATCATATAGATTTAAAATAACTGGTAAAAAAATCATATTTAATTTAGTACAAGCTACCTAAGTATAGCATTTTCCTACCTAGTCTGACACGTAAATCTACCTGAGTCTATGGGGAATAACAACTTTAGATGACGCTTGTTATTTTAAACAAGTTGAAAAGTAGGTTGATAGCTGACTTTTTTTAAGGGGAGAAAAACATCGAATGGCTGCTCCCGCCTGGGTGAGGCGGGAGGGAGAGTCAGACTCTTACTGACTAAAAACCACCCCGTTCCTTTTCCTGCGCTTCGAGCCGGAGCCCCGCTAACCCGTTAGGTATAGCCGACTTGAAAATAATATAATTTTACCTAAGACGAGTCCTTAATATGCCTGTAGTGTAGATACCCTATTGCTAAGTTACTTTGATAGAGTTCTTGTATTTTTTTGTTTACTCTTATTTGAATTCGATTGTTTTGATATTTACTTTAATAGTTAATTAGTTAGTTACTTGGTAATAATTAGCACCTACTTGCAAACTGTACCTAATAATTACAATTCCTCAAAATATTTACGTAAAATTGAATCATTATCTCGAAAAGACTACATTCAGTGGCCACTTATGTTGATCGTTACGTAGCTGCTCGCTAGCAACTGATAACTTCTCCAGGGGTCATGCGGCAGCCATTTTGTTAGAGCAGTCACATCTTTGACGTCCCGCGGTTCAGTTGAATCCCAAGTGCTGTGCTTGCCCTTCCTCTCCTCTTGCAAACTATACCAAGATTACATGGTGCTGTTTGGCACAATTAAGCTAACTAACACATACGGTGTGTGCCGAGGCCCTGTCACCAACGGCCTCAAGATTGAAACTCTCAGTAACTTGACACTCGAGACCATTTTCTTCAACTTGTGTAAAGGTAAGTTTCACTTTTCTTACTTTAATAATCCTTGTGTGCTTGTGTTTAATAAGTATCAAGCTATTTAACGCCCTTATTATAACTGCGTAGGTATGTGAATGGATACAGGCATCAGTAAAAAACATTAAAGATAGCCTGATATATTATACCTACCTACTTTTGTAGTTTATCAAAGAGGGCGCCAGTAAAGCTGCCTATTTATTCAAGATAATAGTTATTTAGGTACTTATTTAGATTCTACACTTATCTTACCGAATTGGTACCACTCTGTAGTGGTGTAACTACAGGGTGGCAAGTCGACAAAATGCCACGGGCCCTCAGCTGGAAGGGACGCGCATTTGTTTTAATTGGGAACTGGGGCCAATCAGATGTATTGCCATGGCCTCCGAAGGGATTTGTTAGACTACTACCACTCGACAACCGCGGAGGACAATGGGTTACCGGGGCTCCGGCTCGTAGGGCAGGAGTAGGAACGGGAGAAGTTAGGTATTCGATGATCCCCCCCCCCCGTAAAAAAGTACCACTCAACAAAATTTTATTCAAGTTAAAGTAGTAACTAATGTAAGGATATTTAATCGATAGTGGTACAATTATCCTGATGTAGGTATGAGTAGGTAATTAGAGACATACCTAATTCTTAATGCAATCGTAATCACAAACATTGTTGCATAAACATGGCATAATGCCTTGTAATCCTCGAGGTAGTACCTTATTTGCCTTAGGCAGAGGTGCACCTGCATTATGTGCGCCCATTGATACATATGAACTCAATGGGATCTCAGTTTTTGCGAGTTGCAATAATAAGAGATGTGTCTATTAGGTACCATGCATCGGGTCCAATTTCATACTCTGTGCTATTAGCTGTTGACAGTTTTCGAAAAACTTAGATAATTGTGCAATCTTAGAAATACATTGCCCGACTCAAGACCAGCCTACAGCCACTCGACCACCGAAACCGTCATTTTGATAAGCTTACTAAGACGCTTCTCGGCTTGTCCTAGTGTCTGTGTGAATGTGATAATTTCGCAAGTGAATTTTTTTGTTGGATAAGTTCAAACTGAAATCTAGTAGGTAATTTAACACTTATAAGTACTAATATGTAGATAAGTTTTTTTTATGGGATAATCCGGTAAACGAGCCGACGAATCACCTGATGGTAAGCAATCGGCGTCGCCCATGAACACCCGGAACACCAGAGGCGTTACAAGTGCGTTACCGGCCTTTTGGGATAAGAAATTTGAGGCTTGTTGAGAATTCAGGGATTGAAGAACCCCTTCCCCCGGTAGGAGTAATCGGGCCTCTGGTAACCTCACTCATACGACGAAACACAACGCAAGCGTTGTTTCATGACGGTCTTCTGTGAGGCCGTGATATCACTCCGGTCGAGCCGGCTCATTCGTGCCGAAGCATGGCTCTCCCACAGTAATTTAGATACCTAGTTAAGTAAGAATCTAGTTGAGTAGTTGGTTTTAAGTAGGTAAAAGGTAGGCACCAAATTTAACGAAAAGTTTTATTATTGTTAACTTACAAAAAATTATTTGATTTCAGCTTGTCAGATCAAGAGCATGGCTTCAATCCCACCTTCCGCGTTCTCCGCTGGTCGCATCCGCGACACACAGCGCGATATGAAGATATCAAAGGAGTTTACAGGAAATCAATCCACCAAGTTCTTTAACACTACACGTGAGTATTTTTAACTTCGTTGATTCCTCGTTTTTTTCAGTCAAACTCACGTCAGCGTTATCGAGATTTTCTGATTTTTTATAAGATTGAGTGCCTCTCAATACAATAGGAATCCACCTAGCACTATAGCAGCAGGTATCCTATTACCTATTTGAAATGTTTCTTTACCTAGACGATCATCTTCTACATGATCATGTTTAGGCTAGAGAATGGAATTATTATGATACGCGACACGACTGATGGGTATTGTGTGATGGTGTGATGTCTCAAGCACCATTAGATCATCATTTTTGTAATACCTATACGTTATGAAAACTCGAGCCAACTCTACACAACAGGTCACTTGAGGTCACCAATTTATCTTTGAAGTTTAAGGGCTTTATTACAAAAGTACTAAAGAACAATAACTCTTCATAAAATATCGTCTGTCATATTGTCGATAATTATATTGATCCAATCTGTTTTGTTTCAGTGATGGAACTGACTCCACTGAAATACAATAGCAAGCTAATGACCAGCATCTGGGGCGACTACAACCGCTACTCGCCGCACAACGTGAAGAAGATCAATGATGCTAACACATCCAATGTGGAGTTGCAGCAGTAAGTATCTACCTACCTAGTACCGACTAATCTTACTTTACCTACCTATTTACCTAATCTAGATATATGACTTGATGGTTGACTCAGTGGTTGAGCGACGAGGTGCTGCTTAACCTGTGTTAACGTGTCGTGAATTCGATATCGATCGATCCGCCCGGAACAATTAATTCTTCATATGATTGTGTGATTCATAAATTATTTGTGCAACATTGACTGTACGACTGCATGGTTGGCGTAGTGGCTGGGCAATGGGTTCGATGCCCGTACGGAACAATACTGTGTGTTCCACAAATTGTTTCAGGTCTAGGTGCCATATGTGTGTGAATTTGTATGATTGTAAACGCACCCATCCACGGCTCATTAAAAAATCCTAGTGGGGCAACGTTCAAAACAAAATTGTTGCACAACGTGTTACGGATCTGATTCCCGGACGCAACAACTATTTGTATGATCCATAAGTTGTGGCCCCATGTCCTAAGTGCGATATTGAAAAAATAGTGTTTGTAAACACACTCATTACGTAACAATGGAGAATATTTGTCTGACAACAAATTCATTAAAATTTAATTCTGATTATATTTTTAAACTAACTTTTTTTTACTTTAATTTCAGATCCGCTGCTAACTCCAACAACAAGAACGATTCTCCGATAACTCTGCTTTCTACCAAACTGAACAATATTTGGACAGCTATAAACATTTCAAAACACTAATAACATTCAGTTCCCAATGGATACAATGTGTATAGATTATAAGAAAATATATAATTACAACTAAAGTTGTTTAATTATCTCAACCAAAGGAATTTTTACCCAGTTTCTGCAAAAAGGCGGTATTATAAAAGGAAAGCTAGAGGCACGCATACATTAAAAAGTTAACACCCAATTAATTATTATGTTTCGGCTTACTCAGTACTCACGTAACTGTTTGACGAGGAACTCGACTACTTTCAAGCCATGCTAGAGGCCCATATTCATGAGCAGCATACCGCGTAGCGCGACGAGCGACTGTCGCGCTGCTACTGTCATCGCGTCACGAGTCGTGGTTACGTAAGCCGAAAACATAATAATTGATTTAGAATGTCTCACATAGTAAACACCCACTATTACCTTGTTATTTAGTGAGGTGATTCTATTTTTATTCAACTCAAAACGTGTTATTGTTGAGAATATGGAAGGTCCAATAACACTTCACCCGAATGGCAGTCGAAAAATACTAAGGAAATCCCTTGTTATGTCGTTGCACTTGCGGCTACTCAATCCAATGGGCAGTACCTATGTACGATGCTCCAAATAGTGTGATATTTCAAAAACCAATTTTTTATAATTTATCTAAGAGCTTGGATGGAAGTATGATAAAAAAATTACAAAATGTTATTTCATTTGAATGTTTATTAGTAATATTCTCACATTTACATAGGCTATTATTAGTGTTCTACTAATTCTACAGCATTATTTTTGATTAAATATTTATTTTATATCACAGACAAACTAAAACCGCTAATTGTATTATGACCTACGATTTTATTAAAACAAGACAAACATTACTAATAGTTGCACAATCATTTTAAGTTTGTTAGTACACATCTTTCTTTGCTTTGGGATAAATTTAACTAATCAAAGGACAAGGCCGGTCCTTCGGTTGGAAGTCACTTCATAGTTACTGTAAATATGTAACTAAAATGTAAATATGTTATTATAGAGAAGACTATAATTGTGTAGAACAAAATTAAATAATAACACATTTTTTAATGTGCTTTAACAAAATTCCATCCATGTCATTTACAGTTACATACAAAATCTACAATTTTGGTATTCACATAGCTTCTTGAAAGGTTTGGTAAGTATTACAACATAGTATGGGTTTTAGTGTTCCATAATGTGAGCATATTATTTTTAGGAAATACATTCCTAGGTTTTATTCAATAGCCTAGGTAAAATTCACTAACTAATCGAGTTTTACAGAAAAACTTGCACCACACGAGCAACCTAACTCGGCATTTGGATTTTGTGTAATTCTAAAAGCCGCTCTGATGAGCTCAGTATGGTAATCCACCGTTGAACCTTTAATAAAATCCAAAGACGTCTCGTCTATTACTACTTTGACTCCATCTTTTTCAAATATTCTGAAAAAGAAGACATAACATGTAATTATCTTAAACAAGCAAGTCACACAATAACTTGCGGATTATACAAAGGGGCAAAATAAATGTATGTATAGGATATAATAAAAATGTAGCATATGTTATGAAATTATTAGCGCCAAGTGTTAAAATTTCTATTTAAAAGAACTGGACAATTTAATATCTCTCAAGATTCAATATTTACACATAATTCAAAGTTTTTTAACATTGTCCTGTCAAACTGAATATTAAAAGGTATAGATAATATTAAAATAATGAATAAGCCAGTACATACTTGTCATCATCAGCTATTTTTGTATCTAAATCGAATTTGTATTGAAATCCCGAGCAGCCACCACTCTCCACACACACTCTCAGGAAATTGTCTTCGTTAGTACATAATTGTTTTAGCCTCTGTACACAACTGTCGCTTATATTTATGCCTTCTGTAGAAACAGATGCAACTGCCTTTCGAGCTCCATATAGTCTACTACTTACGACACGGTAATTTTGATATCCTAATTTAATTATTTGTCTAGGTTTTAAAAACATTTTCGGTGTATTGTATTCTAGTAGAGTTTCACAATATTTTGTAGTTGTTAAATCACCAGTCTTCAACACAAGTGACTACGCCATAACCACAACAAGATCAAAGATTCAATTAACACACCATTTTTCGTACTAGCAATATACAAACGAACAAATTTGTAAAAAAAACAATATTCAATATGTTTTATTACATTGAAATTTAGCCTCGTCGTGTTACGTATTATTTTCAGCAACTTGTGTTGATTTTGATCATTAAGTCTGTTATGTCGGTGAGTATTTGACAGTAACACTGTGACACTGACATATAATGGTGATTGACAGCTGATGAATGAAGTTTCTAAACGGAAGAAAGATTTAGATTTCCAAAGTTACTTGTTTGTAATAATAATATTTGTATTAATTACCATTTCATAAAAGTACACTTGCACAGAATTTAAAAATACGATTATAGTAAAACGAAAACAAACTTTAGTACAATGGCCAGCACAACAGATCAACATGCCTTTCCTATCTGTCATGTAGATTTTCAACTCTATGATTATCTATCTTATATATATAAAAGAAAGTCGTGTTAGTTACACTATTTATAACTCAAGAATGGCTAAATCGATTTGGATGAAAATTGGTGGGAAGGTAGCTTAGAACCAGGAGACGGACATAGGATACTTTTTACCCAATTCTTTTTTTTTATTTATTACCGAAAATCAATAACGGGAACGGGAAATATCGGGATTGCGCGTACGAAGTCGCGGGCAGAAGCTAGTTAGAACCTAAATCCAAAATCCAAAAAATAATTGACAGATTGGAGTATTTTGATCTACTGGCTCCTGTACGTTCAGAAACAGAAACTGTATTTTGAGAACCGCTTTCCAGTAGGGTAATAGTACTGTAAACAAAATAATAATAAAAAAACGCTTCTTACCTGACTATATGTAAGAAGAGTTGAAGATTTACACTTTAATTTTATTTATAGGTTCATTCAATTTCAATAAATCAATAGACTAGGTTTTGTTGTCCTGTTTTGTTCTATCATACCCATAGCCCTGACGATTCGACCCCACTCGATGACTGTGAGTAGGTTCCTACGGGATAAAAAAATAATGTAGAACTGTAACCGAACAGACGGATTATCGGACTTGATGGTAAGCAATCGGCGCCGCCCATGGATGGACGCACGCTAGCCCACAACATTAAATGTCTTACAAATGCATTATCGGGTTGCTTTTAAGGATTGGGGATGTCATATGTGATGACGGGGATTGAGCCTCCCTCTGATAACCCCACTCACATGGCGAAACACACACGTGTAACCGTTGTTTCATGACGGTTTTCTATGAGGCCGTAATCGAGTCAGCCCAAGCACGACTACCCCACACGCCACATTAAAATATCCTATTATTATAACACATTTCCGTTATTTATGACTGATTTACTTACTAGATTGACCTACTCTACTAATGCAGAAAAAGTAAATTGCAGGAACAAAATTAAATAAGTACCTACCGAAGTATTCATCGAATAAAGTTGAAGAAGGCAAGGATGATTTCATGAAAGGTGAGAATAAAACATTGTTAAAAAATTATTGTGTAAACTGGATGACATTATTACGCGAGTAAGTAACTGTTTTCAGTTGAACAGATTGTCAATCAACCCACTTCTGACGCTTTTGTACGTTTACGGTTAGGTATTAGCATTATCTATTTTTATTTTAACTTCGTTCTTAACTTAGTGTTTAGTTATTTCTTGATATGGTACTTTGTTTAGCCGCAGATAAGTAAGTCACGGAGTTTGATTTCTTGATTAGACAGATAAAAGTTGTGTTTACCTACTCTTGTAGACCCATAAACACAGCAGCCAAGAAATATAATTATTAACTAAGCAAAAAATTAGGCAGTATGTGAATACCTACCTAACTACTTAATACAGTGCTAAAACTTTTGTGGCAAAAAGTTCATAGGTAAGTACCTACATAATTTTCCCGCGGATCGTGTCAACGAAATCAAAGGTTTTGCAAATAAAAATGAAAATAATGTACAGCCGACAGCACTTTCTTTCTAGCAAATGTATGTACCTACCTATTTATTAAAATATGTTCGTGTTAGTATTATCCATTCATATGCCTGTGCCAGGAGTAAAAAAAAAAACTTGTCGCACATAGCATGGGACCCAGCCCAGTACCCAGCACCCCACAAGTTCTTGGTTAGAATGAATGAAACGTGTGCTACGGACGCCAGGTGACAAGGGACAGTAAACTGTTAAAGCGTGTAGAAATTTATATCTAAAAACAAGAAAGGTAATTTTTCAATGTTTTGTAAATTACCTATATACCTACTATTAATAAGATATATTTTAGGTATGTATTTTTAAACAGTCACAACGGTAGAAACCCAATTATAGTAACTGACAATAATTAAGATAATTTGTATTTGTAAAAAATGTTTATAAAGAAAGGAATGATGTAATCCCAAAGTAACAGAAAGCTCGTCGCCTTTTTATTGAAATTCTTTATGCTGAAGAATATTCCCTGACTGTTCAAGTGAAATAAGATAGTAACATTTAAAAACTTAGTTTTTAACCGACTACTTCTTTAAATTTCATTTACTTTAATAATTTTAATTATAAAATTAATTATCTAACAATTTCTCAATTATGTATTTCAATAAGTAAGTTGAATGTCGAAATTTCTATAAAATACCTTGAAAATGGTATGAATTCTTAACTTGTAACACTGTTGTTTATAATCCATTAGTTAGAGTGAGAGCGAAATACGGTAAAAGGAAAGAGACAGGCAAACAAATCGGGGAGTGCTGGCCAGCGGTCCTTTGCATCGACACGTTTCTTCATAACATAAATGTTTATATTTTGGATTTCATTGCTATTCCATGAATAGAAGTGATAGTGTTGCATTTAAGTATTAAGGTTTTGACGTAGTTACATTAAATATTAAAAAAAAAAGAATTTTCAGAATGAAAATATGCAGTTTTCGTTAAATAAACACAATTTTAATTTTATTTTCAGTAGCAGTAATAATTAGTAAATATTAAATAAAACTGAATAAACAATATTATGAAAAAAGAACTTAGTTATAACAACAGTATCGTCCAATACTTTATTATATTCACTGGCCACCCTACTCCACTTTGCGCGGCAGCGGTCAGAAGGCGGAGCTTATCGGCAAACTCGCGTCGAAGCTGGATTCACTGTCAATTCGAGAGCCGCGAAGAGTACGCTCGCGTCTATTACGTGGTGTGTTTATAGTGAAGTGGATTTTGTGATGAGATTATCGAATGTCGTGAAGTGAAAGATAGTGTTGTTTTATCAAAAAGTGTAAACTTGTGGGCTGTACAATGTTTATGGTTCACTTATAGTGCATAATCAAAATGTGTGAATCACGATTGTGTGCAAAATTGATTTATGCCACGTAGTGACGCGAACGGGTAATGATTCCTAATGTGGAGTTCGAAGCAAGATGGTTAGAGAGACTCGGCACCTGTGGGTTGGAAATTTACCCGATAACATTCGTGAAGACCGAATAAGGGAGCACTTCAAACGGTAATATAACTTTTATCTATTATATTTCAGATATTTGTATATCCAGGACTAGTATTTAATTAAAAGAATTCATGGTGTGAGATTTCATCTCACGTAAAATATGTAAAACGAAGTAAATATTTTCTGTTGGAATAAATACGTTAAATGTACCTATACCGAGAAATACCTACCGGACGTAGGTGCCACCCATGTATGTTTGTTATTGTTTTTATTTCCAAATTGTAAAGTTCTAACTTTTTTTAGTTTAGTCAACATTTGATACAGTATTTCACAAAATAAGTAACCATCAAGAGATTGTTAACAGACATAGCTGGTCTATGTTTAATAAACTAAGTATTTAACTCAATGTTGATTAAACATACTAGAAATATCAAGTAATATAATTTAAATACTTTTTTTAATATATTACTAACGAATTGCGATTGCAGGTAGCTAAAGCACTTGTATCTGTCCCGATCGCAGTCATCGAGAACCTTTGTTTAAACTTTTTCTGTTAAAATAATAGGGTATTGTTAGCATTGTACTGATTGTATATAATGATGTATATCTACATACATACCTATATTAGGCCATCTCAAATTATGGAGAAACACTGACGAAACAGGAGTGGAGTAAATGTGACGATCAAATAGTCTTCAAGTAGCACATGTCGCAACATGTGTTTAACTCTTTATAATTATGAGATTTTGCACAATTAGGTAGTTTTTCTTCGTATTCATCTTGAGCTAGGTTAGGTACCCATATTCGCTATAGAAAGTTACCTAGTTCGCCCACGGTCTATGATTACTCGTCTCGTAAGAATTCGTACCAGCATTAGCAGGAGCTTATCGCTAATTGAATTAGTAAGGCACTTAGGTATATTCAATATAAAAAATTTAGGTAGGTAGGTACTTACTTGCCAGAGTTACTGGACTTCCTACATGCTGTTTCTCTACAGGCAACGTTGAAAACTAACCAAAGCACGCCAAGGCCAGTCTTCATTAAAACCGATTTTTATCGACGAAATTGATTTGGACTCTATCGTGTTGTAATCGTCTGTCCACCACGTTGTGGGATGGTATGGTAGATTCATTAGGCTTGTCTGATGGTTTTATTTGCGTGTTCTGTTTTAAAGCGTGTTATTTATAGAGGCAACGCAATATGCAACCTTCGTTTTATCACGTTACTATCGTATACTGTTTTTTTTTTCAATGAGGACTTTAATTACTTTTTGAAATATTATTTGCCTTCATGCTCATGCATTCTCCACGTAGAAACTGCAAAACGCCACTAAATAAACTTTCAACCTTGCCTCCCTCTCCACGTTCGTAAAAATGTGGACGGAAATACAAATTATGTAGTTTTTCGTTTTGGCTTCTTTTGCTACTCGTCAGTTTCCTGGGTTCTTTAGATGTAATAATTTCAATCAAATCAAATAAATATATGATTTACTTAGCTGAAAAATTATCATTACACAATGCTCACGTATTATTCATCGTTGTATAACACGCATTTTTCACAATGGACGGATTATTCCTTGCATTTTTTACATTTGACTGATAGGACTGACCTACGTCGTTTGCATGTTCTTTTTCGTAAGAATCTACACTTTGATATAGCTATGTATTTAACTATTCACAATCTAAGATTGTAATACTAATATGGTATCGTTACATTACCTCCTACACAAAACTCACTGCTTTATTTAATCTATCTTACCTAACGTTCGATAAGCAACTTTTTATAGTTATTACTTATCAGTCATCATAATTGGGATGATGACAGGGTAATTAGTCCGTAAGTTAGGTAATGAAAAAATATTAGACACGTATTTTTTATTTTATAATAAAACAATACTTAGATAAAACGAATCAAAGTTTAAGAGTGGAGGCTAAAACGTCATTTCTACGTACCTATAAAATGTACATAGCAGTAACGTCACGCGACATTTCATTTCAAATCGTTTCTGTAAGAAAACAAAAAATACGTGTCTAATGATTTAAAATAATTTACCAGGCGGATATTAAAATAAAAATTAGGCATCTACCCTATTCATGCATCTGCAACTAAATCCATATAGACTGAAGTAATTATTTTATAGGTACACAAGGGATTGTCGCCCATTATTGTAATGTGTCAATTTGTGACTCGACCCTATTATGAGAATACAGTGTCTTCTCCACTGGTATTCAACCTTGTGCATAGCCTAATATTAAACAATACTTTCCTATACGTACATTTATATATCCCAAAGAATTTATCAAGAATTCAATCAAAGAAGGTACCTTTATTCTGTAGGTATTTATTTATTCCTGTTTATCTGGGTTATCTAACATTTTGTATAATCTATTAGTATTAAAATCAATCGTGAAATGAGTTATTATTACATAGGCGTCAAATTAAAAAATGACTAAACTAGGTAATTCGGTAATTTTTTTTTTTTACTAATTAACGTTTTATTGGGGTCTGCGGAAAAATTTTATGCTCGTGCATATAATCGTCGTCGTTGACGTCTACCGGGTCGACCACTGCTACGTTAAAGATTAGTCTATTTATTTTTTTGCTGTGTGATGAGAAAAACTGTTTGTCTCATTTCTTCATTCAAATTTTTATTGGCGCGAAGATAAAGTGGAATATCTGTGTTCATAATTATTATTCTTCCGAATACACAACCTTATGGAAATTGGCGTCACGCCATTATGATAATTCGCCAAGGCATCATTCCGTGCCGACTGCATATTTATGAAAGAACGAAAGTAATTCGGTATTCAAACATAGATCTTCTATCATTATAATTATGTATAGTTCTGTTTAACCAAAAGACCTATTGATTCGATCTATGTGAGCCTTGTGAGCCTTTTGATCGTGATAGTGTATTGGTTTGATAAAATCTTATTCGAAGATTAATTACCTAGTATATAAATCACAAGCAGCAGTAGGATGTATATCTTGCTTATTTTTATAATTTTCTATGAATAGTTAAATGAAAAAAGAGTTGCATGAAAAGTGAATGAAAACGCTACCTATGTCTTGCACAAGTCTTAACGTTTACGTTAATGAAATTATGGAAAGGAGGATCTTTGTCTGTAGGTCTCCCAACTGACGATGATTAGTCAAGGTATTATTGATCAGAGACAAGTAGGTAGTTTGTCGTATTGTAACAATGAAAGTTGAAACTTCAAACTGAAGTGGTTCCAGTTCGCAACACTCGATACGTATTTATTTTTACAAGGTCAAAATTATAAACCTTTGTAAACTATCCTATCCGGTACTGTAGTTGATAACTAGTCAATTTCAATACTTTAATTGATATGTCAGAAATCATACGAATTTATATTAAAATACCAACTTATGATGACGTCATCCATTTTTTTATGAATTCACAGTTAATGGTGAAAAGTTAGCTACAATTAATAATTAAGCAGATATATCGTCAAATCAATGAATTGAAGTGTGATTATTTTTGAATATTCAATTGTATTGAAAAGCTAAAATTATTTATAATCCAGGAAACTACTCAATAAAAGTAGGTAGTGAAGTACCTGCTATTGCCTACTGGTAAAGGAAGCATAAAACCTATCAATAACATCGATAAAGTTTCAATTAAGCCTTTAATCTAATGTAGGAAGTACTTAGTTTCAATTAAAATTGTCTAATTCTTATTTGTGTGACCTAAAATGACACGCTATCTGCCGCAAGATTGGGCTATCGACAAAACAACTATAGTACTCTAGTACTATATCTCGGTTTTCAAATTAATATTTTTAGTATATACGTAATTACCTACTTAATCGTAATCAAAGTGCAAATGACTCAAATTAATAAAAAAAACACTAATATATGGTTAGGTACTTCTGATTATTTAGTCGATAATGACGTCCCATCGATTTTATTATGTATTTAAAATTACAATATTTAAATAAACTTTATGTCTGCTTTTATGCTACCTAGAATTAAAAAAAGAACCATAATAAAATGACTATGTTACAAGGATACTTGTACGCTTATATTGCAGACAAAAACTTCTGGTAATTATTATTTTTATTATATCAGATTTTGAATCTAAAGGCAAAGGCTTTTATTACACATTTTAAAATACTTTTCGAAAAACTGTATTATTTCCTTTTTCGCCAAGTAAAGTAATTTGAATTTCATCAAATGCTATTATGTGTGTTTATGAAATTTAACGTGACCTCTATAAGCGTGATACTATCATCCTTGGACTATAAACTCTCAGACAAATATTTTATCATTGAATGGATTAAGAATTTTTGTATAACTTGTTAATAGATGCTTAAATGCGCAGCATTCTACAATCGACACAATTATAATTTACAATAGAACTGTTTGTCATTGACGAATTCCATTCTCTCCAAAGGAAGTAGAACGTGAAAGAAGAGTAACGATGAAGTTTCTTGGTCGTTCTTCTCCATTGGAAATTTCACTTTGGAACGGGCACCTACTAACAGAGAGACTGACGAACAATTCACTTTGGACGTTTCAAAAGTGCATAATTAGGGATTTTATAAGATTTTATAATTGAAATAAATGCTTTGACTTTGTAGAATAACTAGGTACCACATTCGAAGCTTTCAGTTATAAACTCATTGTAAGCAATAGAATGACGTAGAATTATAGTACCTAGCAGTAGCAAGTCATAAAATTCTTGCAACATGAGGTTCTTCTCGTGTGGAATTGTATATGTATATGTTACCGGCAAATTTTATGTATAATTTATAAGTTGCCGAAAAAGGATCGGTAGGTATTTCGTCCAATACCTGTGCAATGTTTGAAATATTGTTACGAAATGGTGAGTCAAAGGACCATGTGGCTGGTTGCAAGTTGGGAATTCTATCGAGGGTGAGGCGGTACTTTACACTGAAATAATTACTTGTGCTCTAGCAAGCACGAGTCCGGTCGTGCATTGAGTACTGCTCCCATCATTGGTATGGCTCAGCTAAGCACCAGCTAGAAGCCCTCGCGTCCGTCGAGAGGCGTGCCTAGAGGCTCATCAACGTTGA